TCGAGCCCTGCCTCGGGCTCTGTGCTGACAGCTCAGAGCCTGTAGCCTGCTTCTGATACTGTGTCTCCCCCTCTCTCTGACCCTCCCCTGCTCATGCTGTCTCTCTCTCCCTCTCTCTCTCTCTTTCTCTCTCAGAAAAAAAATGAATAAATGTTAAAAGAAAATTTTTTTAATGAAAAATCAACTGAGTAAATTTTAAGATCTAATTGACTTTATTAAATTATTCAAGAATCAGACAGTAGCTCATCTAGCACATAGAGGGGAGCTCCTGAGGAGTGGTACAAAAGGGAAGGTTTTTATAGGAAGGAGGGTGGGACAAGGAATTATTAGCAAAAGAAAAGAAAGGATTGTTCCAGGCGAGGAGAGGAACCCTGTGACAGATTACCTAGCTGGTGCTGACCAGAAAATTCCTGGCTGACCAGTTAAGACTATGTTTCTGGGGGAGGTCAAAACTGCACTTAGGTATTAAGCTCTGGTTTAGTGAGCTTGGCCAAACTTGGCCTAGCATAAGTGACACTGTCTTGGACCTGTGGTTTTCTTTTTAATAGTCTGAACTGTCCTGAATTCCCTGCCACTTTAAAAATAATGACTTGTATTATTTTTCAATGCTTTGGACCAGACTATTGTCTCTTTTGAGCATGAAATGACAGGGCAGTGAGCTCTGAGCAGGTAGACCCAGTGTGCTTTGTTTTGTTTTGATGTTTTTTATTTATTTTTGAGAAACAGACTGAGCCTGAATGGGGGAGGGGCAGAGAGAGAGGGAGACAGAATCCAAAACAGGCTCCAGGCTCTGAGCTGTCAGCACAGAGCCCAAGGAAGGGCTTCAACTCATGAGCTGTGAGATCATCAACTGACTGAAGTCAGATGCTTAATTGATTGCACCACCCAGGCACCCCATCCCAGTGTTATTTGTGTGTCACAGAATTACAAATTGTAGCTGTGTCCTAGAGGAAAAGGCTGCTATGAGAGGGACAGTGAGGGTAGTGGTGGCACAACTAACATTGGGAAATTGACACTTAGGCCAGCCAAAAAATTACAAAGAGCTAGTCATGGAAAAGGAATGGGGAAGAAGTGTTCCAAGTAAAAAGAAATGGCAAGTGCAAAGCTCCTGAGGCAGGGCAGAGAAAATTTCATTGTACTGAAGGAACTGTAGCAAGTTTAATTGTTTTCTTCCTCCCCCAGTGAAAGAGGACTTCAGCTACCTCCCTTGGATTCCATCTATTCTTGATTGATTGATTTGTTGATTAAGTTCTTCTTTCCAGTTTATCTCTTAACTCAGGCAAAACACTCTTCAGGCAAAGCATCCTGTGAACCAAAACTACACCCTCAAGCAACAGGGACTGCCTTGAAGCTAGCCTGACTGACCCCAGGACAATGATGGACCTGACCTGTACTGCCCACCTGCACGTACCCACCGATCTTTGTCTTACATTTTCCTTATACAATCCTACAAGTATTTTTCTGGTTCCACCACTGCTCGTCCCTCTGCCTTTGGATTTTGTCAGCAGCCAGTGGCCAGAACTGGTCTGTTTGCGACCGCTGGAGCCATGTGCTTTTGCATCACTGTGCTTCCGTTCCATGAGGATTGAAAAAAAAAAAAAAAAGATATTTGAAACGATGTGCGTCATTACTAAGCTACAAATAGGCTAAAACAATATGTAGAGCTCATAAAGGACTATCACTGACATTATTTTCCCACAGTCAAACCAAGTTTTCCATCTGTGTTTCTTCGCTTTGATATTTCCTCGTTATTTCTAGTCAGTGTTAAGGTCAATCATGTCGTTCTGTCACACACACTCTCACAGGTCCTGGAGCCATCCCACATGCCCTACCTCCAGCCCCAGCAACTGTGTTCTCAGAATCTCTCTCCATCCCTGTCAACTGTGACTGTCTCTGGTTTACCTTTTGTCCCCTGACCCCGCAGTCCCTAATGCTAAAGGGATGGAGGCAGCGGGTGTGTGTGTGTGTGTGTGTGTGTGTGTGTGTGTGTGTGATTGGGTACTGTCTTCTTTGAGAATGACCTAGGGGTCACCAGAGTGAGTGAGGGAGTGAGGGTGGAGGGGTGGGGGGTTAGGTTGAAGGCTGGAGAAGCTGAGTGAAAATGGACTCTGCATACCTTCAGGGACAGGAAAAAGGCAGAGCCACGGTTTAGTTCCCCCAAATATCTGCCTCCAAAAATCCCCAAAGATAGAGCCAAGACTCTGGGGCCCTTGTCCAAAGTGGCCCTGGATTTTGCATCTTATTCTCTTGCTCATATAACCTTGGTTGTTTAAAAATTTTTTTAATGTTTATTTATTTAGTTTTGAGAGAGAAAGCACACTCGCCTGTGCACACACACCAGTGGGGGAGGGGTAGAGAGAGCTCGGGACAGAAGAAGATGGCTCTGCACTGATAGCAGAGAGCCGGATGCAGGGCTTAAACTCATGAAATGTGAGATCATGACCTGAGTCAACGTCAGACACTTTACCAACTGAGCCGCCCAGTCATGGTTGTTTTAATAAAAATGAAACTTTTCTACCTCCTCCCAGGCATCATGTAAAATTGAAGTTCTGACTGGTTTCCTGTGCCCTTCATTCACCACTGTGGATCTCAAGATACGAGCATCCTTGTTTGAGATATAGAAAGCAGCAGCCCCTTCTTTCTGCTGGCCCAGGGCAGTGGATATCATAGATGACAGGTGGGCAGTTATGCCAGCCAACTGCTCCCTGGCACCTCTGTATCCATCTGGAAGGCCAGGGCTTAGCAAGACTGCCTGCTGTCTGTGCTTTGACTACATCAGAGTCCTCTCCACCTGCCAGATGCTCCTGCTCTGGCTCTTGAATCAGACCACCCTGGCTTCAGCACTTACCCATGTGAAGTAGGGAGAGTTATTTACCCTCTTGCGCTTCAGTTTCTCCTCTATAAAATGGTGATGCCCATTTCATATAAGGTGGTTTGGGAGACAAAATGAGATAATCCACACAAAGTGCTTAGCTTGAGGCTCATTAATTATTAGCTATTTTCATTACGTTATTTTTCAAAACCCATCCACAATGCTTCCTCCTCCAAGAAGCCTTCCTGAATTACACTAATGACTAAAAACTATTCTTCCTTCTCTGATCCCAGAACTGCTAACAGCTATTTGCCTTGGGGTAGAGATGTCTGGGACTCCACTATCCCTAAATCTAAAGGGGCTATAAATGCTTTAAAGCCAAAAAGGCAATGAAGAGAAGACATAGACAGCCCCCACAGATTTGACATGCAACCCATTCTAATGTTTAATGTGGATTTTTTTGGTTTGTGCCTTTTCAATCTGTGTTGTCTTGTGTGCATGCATTTATTGGTACTGTGTTATGGGTCTTACTGGGTTGTTCTACTTTTTCAGCTTAGCACTGGGTGCTTGAATCCCCATGGCTGTGAATACACCTGGTTGCAGAGGGCACTTTTAGGTAAAAGGCTTGAGCAATGGAAACCTGAGCAAGGCAAAAGGACTCACACTGACCACCAGGCTGAATGCAAACAGGCTCATTAAGTGACCCACTTCGAAATAGTAACTGACCACTGAGCTACTTGTATACAACCAGGCACAATTACCAAAAAAGGGAAAATTCCATATATCCCCATACTCCCTCACTCCACCCTATAACTATACCCGTCCCTGCCCCACCACCTTGCTGCAATCTCTCCTTTGCTGTCCTGCCCCCTGCTCCCCCCTTGCAGTGTATCCAACAAACTTCTATCTCTTTTGTTCTGCCTTGACTGAATTCTTTCATGGCCTGTGCCTCCAGCCCCCACCCAATCCGGAGGCCCCACACTGGCCCCTCTGGTTGCACACTACCACATTTTACCCATCCACTCCCTCGGCACTGACCCTCAGGTCACTTCCAACTCCCAGCAACCCCAAAACAGTAACGCAGCAAAGTACACCCTTTTACATGTCCTTTTCTGAGACTGTAAGAGAAAAAGCTGCACTTTAGGGTCAAAGTTCTCTGTGTTTAGTTTCCCTCATTACCGTCAGACTGTTTTCCAGAATGGCTGCCCCAGACTACTCCCACCAGCAGTCCACCTGGCTGTCACAGCTCCTCATTCCCTACCAACATAAGGCATTTTCTACCTTTCTAATTTTGCCAGTCTAATCGGTGTTCTATTTCGTTGTCATTTTAACTTGTATTTTTCTGATCACAAATAAATCTGACCGTCTCTTCATATGGTTACAGGTTTGCTGGGGTGTCTGTTCCTTAAATGCCTACCTAAGCTCTTGGAGTCTTTTAGCTTCTCGGGGTGGCTGAGCAGGCTCCGGAGTCTTGAGGATGGGGCTGCCTGGAGGCCTTGCGCGAATGTCCGGGCCCGGTGGCTGGGACAGCTCCTGTAGGAGCCCGGTCCACGGGGACCTGCAGAGCCCAGAGTGGCCCCGGCCCCCCAGTCTTGGAGGTGAAAGGCGCGGAGCCACGAGCAAGTCGAAGAAGCTCCAGGAGGCACCTGCAGCCTGGTCGGGGATGGGGGTGGGGGTAGGTGATGTGCAGCTGCGCCCACATCATGCTTAAGGGCCCCGGCGAGACCGAGGGGTCTGGAGAAGCGGCTGCCACGGGCACCCTGGCGCTTCTGGGAACCCCTGCCCTTGGACCCCAACACAGCGCCCCCTCCCCTCGGCTCGCGGCGCCGCGCGCATGAGAACGCGCGGCGGGCGGTGGGGCAGAAGCGCGCAGCCAAGCTGCCGGGCGGCGGCATGGAGGAGCCCCCGGCGTGGGAGAGCGACGGCCGTGAGTCCCGCTGCGCCGCAGGGTCCGGGGGCGGGCAGAGCCCAAAGGATCCCCGAGCCCCCGCGGGGAGCGACCAAGCCTGCGATTGGCGCTGTCCTCGTGGCCACCTCGGTCGTGGGCTTCTTTGTGGCGCCCGGAGGAACGCGCACCGGGGCGTGAGAGGGTGGGGGGTGGGGGGACTTTGCGCGTCTGGGACGTGGCGGCGCCATCGGTCTTGAGAGCAGGGAGCTGCTGCGGCGGAGACATTAGCTAGAAAGAAGATGGTTATGTGATCCTTTATCGAGTACTTACTTTGTGTGCCGGGAGAAGCCAGGACAGGCATGCCATTTGATCTTCACAGAGGCCCTGTGGGTAAGGCATATTGTTATTGCCATTTTGCAGAAGAGAAGCTGAGGCCCAGGGTGATTAAATAAGTTACCCAAGGTCACACAGCCTTTAAGTGGCAGAAATGCCGAAGGCCCCAGCTGTGCCAGAATGTTGAGATTGGTTGCGGAATGAAGACCATAGCAGACAGGGAAACTGAAACCCACGGGAGGGGAGCCGTGGTGTGCGGCGGGTGGGATGAGGGCTCCTGAGAGTCTTCCTCAAGGAATGTGCCCGGGTCTCTGGCCCGGGCAGCAGCATTCATGTGGGCATCAGCCAGCCTGGGAGGCTTTGGCGGCACTCCCTGGGACGGGGAGGGGGAGAGAAAGATTGTGCCAATGTTCTCACACTGGGTTAAGAGGCTCTGTAAAGGTGCTGTTTCAAAGGGTGCAGGGTTCTGCCTGGGTCAGAAGATCCCTTGAGCCAGCCGTTAAAGAATATGCAGCAATGGAGCATTAGGGAGTGTGGGAGGGAATTCTGGGCAGAGGATACATCATGGGGAAGGTCTCCTAGGCCAGGGTACAGTTGATGTGGCCAGAAAGAGGATACATGGGTTGGAGCGGATGGAAGAGAAGAGATAAGGCTTGATTTCACTGGCGCCATGCAGGGTCTGCTTGCTCCCATTAGGACTCTTCGCTGTTTGCTGATACAAACAGGCCACTAAAAGCCACCTGTAGGCTTTCACTAAGAGAAAGGGAGTCGGAGCTGGAAGGGATTTCTACAGATAACTTTCTTCACCCTCCTGCAGTTTTACAACTGGAGAAACTGAGGCCTCAGAGGGGCACATGGCTAGCCTGAGGAACCTGCTACTAGAAAGTAGCAGAGTAGGTACTATGGTCCAGTTTCCATAAACTCTCACTTGAAGTGCCAGCTCTTTGCCTGAACCTGGATCGTGGTATTGTTCAGCCAAGAGGTTAAGGAAACAAAAGCTCGGGACTCAGTGCTTTTGGAGGTGTTTGATATCTGAGAAGGGTTCTTCCAGAAGAGCCCTCTCCTCACCTGTAAGAAAGGCATCCCCTTTGGGGTGGGAAAGGGTGGAGCTAGCAGTGGAGACCGCACTGGGAAGATGGTGTTTTCCCCACTCCCCTGCAATATTGACCTGAAGCTGACTCCCCCTCAAAGCCTCTTTCCTGCCATTTACTTGAGCTTGTGGTTTGACTTTCTAGGGGACTGATGAGTCTTTTTTTTTTTTTTTTAATGTTTTATTTATTTCTGAGGGAGAGAGAGACAGCATGAGCAAGGGAGGATCAGAGAGAGGAGACACAGAATCCGAAACAGGCTCCAGGCTCTGAACTAGCTGTCAGCACAGAGCCCGATGTGGGGCTTGAACCCACAAACTGTGAGATCATGACCTGAGCCCAAGTCAGATGCTTAACCGACTGAGCCACCCAGGTGCCCCATAATGAGTCTTAATTGCAACAGCATCTTATGGTTCTAATGCCTCTGAAGAGATTTCATGATTTGTATGTCACTCATTCATTCAACAAATGTTCCAGGGCCTGAATTTGGGGATTCAGCAGTTAACAAATCAGACAATAATCTCCCCTGCCATGGGCTTATAATGGGGGAACATTAGACCTCATCAGACAATAGACCTCATCAATATGTAAGTATGGCATATATCTGTGGTGAGGGGTGTTATCGAGAAAAAAAAATGCAGGGAAATGGGTAGGGAAGGTGCTCTCTTTGGTTGGGATTTCACAGGCTTAGAGGGCCCTGAGTGAAGGAGGCACTACCACCTCCATGTCTTTGGCCACCAGAATTTATTCTCTGACCCTTTGCCTTGGAGGGATAATAGTGATGATGATGATGATGGCACTATTTGCCAGATACCATGCTAGGGGCTTTTCATATCTTATATCTAATCATTACAATAACCCTACAGGGTGGCACACATTCCCCATTTTGCAAATGAGGGAAACTGAGGCACAGGATAATTGAGGCACAGCCAGTCACATGGCTGGGAAGTGACTCAGCCAAAGCTGAACCTAGGGCCATGTGATTGCCCTAGGGCAGCAGCTCCGAGGTCCCTAGGTTGTATCTATGAGGCCCCGGGAAGCACAAGACCCCTATCTGGAAAGCAAATTGATGGCAGGCCTGTCTGTCACCTCAGTGCATCCCAGCTTTCTCTGACAAGTCACTGGCCACCTGTCCCTGGATACACCAATGGGCTGCATCTGGACATTCACATTGGATCAAACATGTAGGATGTGCGTTTGGTAGCAGTCAAACCACAGATTACCTGCCCTGTTATGATTGTGCAAAAGGCCCAGCAAGTATTTGTGCCTTGTGCTAGAGTGTCTAAACCTTTCTGGAGGTGAGACAGGCATCTAGTAGTCTGAGGATTTTTGTGTCACTCATAGAAGCAGAATCTCATGAGTTCTTCCTTATGCCCAGCTTTGGGCCTGCCGTAAGCTGGAGGTGTATCAGCAAGGGTCAGATGTGGCCAGGGCCGCCAAGGAGCTTGCCGTCCAGCCAGGGACACCAGATATCCTCACAGAACAAGACCAGTCAGGATGACAGCAGTGTGGGGTCCAGATGAGCCCTGGACCGGTGCTCCTGGCTTGGCCACCACCCCTCTGAGCCCAGCCCACTGCTGCCAATGGCAGGAGGCCAGCAGGGGGAGCTCTGAGGCTGCCTCCAGTCTGAGATAATGGTGCAGCATTGAGGCAAGAGGAGCCCTGAAAGAAGGCAAATCAGAGTGGGCCCCACAATGGGGAGGCGACAGCTGGTTCGGACTGGGGATGAAGAGAGAAGAGATGGAGGGACAAGGACAGAGAAGCCAGGTGATAGGCCTCTGGCCTTGCCCCAGCCTGATGAAGTAGGTGGCTCAGTAAATCCTGGCTGCCTGCTTCACTGGATAAAGCCAGGGAAAGGTAGTCATCAACTCCAGTGGGAATGTATTCCATTCCCTTCCTCAAAAGCTGCTCTTAGGGTTGTCAAAACTGGATGATGGGACACCTCTGAGCCATGACAGGCACACACCCGGCTCCTGTGGATGGTCTTGCTGTGCTGTCCCATCTTTAGGGTTTGGCTGAGTCCTGGTCACATGGACATGGGGTGAGTTAGTGAAGAAAAGCAGTTTTTCTGGGGAAGTCCCTTGAAAGGGGGGCAAAGGCATCCCTGCCACCATTCCCAGCTGGAAGACCCTCTGTCTGGGACACGTTCAGGGCCAGGGAGGAGCTGTTTACCTCTCCTTCGTATGGGGGAGGGGCGCTCTTCCCCTCATTCTACATCCCCTTTTCTGCCCCTAGTGCTTCCTCTGGAGAGGCAGCTCCATGAAGCCGCGCGTCGAAACAACATCGGGAGGATGAAGGAACTGATCGAGAGAAAAGTCAACGTCAGGGCCAGAAACCATGTTCGTAAAGGGGCTCTTCCAAATCGGGGTGGCTGGATGGGGGTAGTGCCTGCCGTGGGACACCTCCACACGGAGAGACAGTTCCAGGAGCCTGAGGCAGGAGGAGCCTTTGCATATGTGAACGTGGGGGAAGCTGAGTGTCTACCTTGTCTCAAGGTCCCGGAGGCCTCTCTAAAGTCAGGGTTGGATTTCCTAGCCAGGCTTGGGCAATTTGAGAGCTCACGCGCTCAATCTCTACCCCCATCTGAAAGGCACACACAAGGAACAAAGGTTAGAGTCAGGAGGGCAGGGGTTGACAGTCAGGAGTCAGAGACTGACAGACAGACAGATAGCCCCAGAAGCCTGGAGGGAGAAAGATGGAATGATGTCTATAGTCAGAAGTCCAGGAATTCAAGACCATGAAAGGCCAGACCGAGAGAGGCTGAGCATGTGTGAGGAAGCAATTTAGTTGAGATCTCTGAACGCCCACTGAGTGTGTAAAACTGCTGTGGGTCCAGGCAGGCCCTCTGGGGCTCAAAGACCAGACAGGGAGGCAGACCTAGCCCACTGATCAGTCCTTAGGGAATGCTGCCGATGGGGTCATCTATAGCCCTGCTCAGGGAGGAGACAGAGAAAAGCCATTCCTTCTGATGGGGAGCACTGGGGATAGGCCTGGATGCCACTCAGGATAGCTTCTCCTTACCTTGGGGCTTCTGGCTGCCGGGCTTGTCTTAAGGGGATGCCAGCCTGGGTGGGAGGTCAGCAGAGTCTGAAAGGGTTGGATGTAGGACTGCTGCCTGCAGCAGAGGCTGCTTTGTCTGGGGTGACAGGATATGGGTGTGACCTGAGTCTTCAGGGCCTGCCTGGGGCTCAGTAATAGTAACAGGAATTCTCAGGGATGTCTGGTGGACTCATCCACCTATTTCCTGGTGGTCATCACTCACCCCTGGAGAGGTGAGGAGAGCAGGAAGGATTAGTCCTATTTTTAGATCAAGGCAGGCATAGACGGGTAGCAAGTCACCTCAGGTCACACAACATTTTATTGATAATTGGAGCCTCAGTCTTAACTCCTAGATAAACACAAGGAAGCATGGACTTGTAGAATGCTAGGACGCTAATGCCAGATTCATTCATTTGCTCATTTATTCATTCAATCCATCAGTGTTTCTGAAGGGCTTACTCTGTGCCGGCATTGTGCTAGGTGCTGGGGACAGAGCAGAACCTGTGCGGATGGGGTCCCTGTCCTTTCAGAGCTGATAGTCTGGGTGGGGAGAACAGACATTAAACAGTGTGTCTCATGAACAGTTCATTCCTGCTGTGATAAGTTGAGAGATGTGGGGGTCTGAGGGGGCCCATCCTACCTGTAGCAATCAGGGAAGGCTTCTTGAGGAAGTGGCATTTTTGCAGGAGCCAGGGTGAAAACAGGAAGAAGGGACAGTGTGGGCAGAAGCCCTGAGGAGGGAAAACCACACAGTAAATTAGTGTTTCCGTTTGTTGTCCCTTTATAAGCTAAAAACTGCAGGTCATGAGCTAGAGGAAGGGCGATTCCCCCAGTCCTGCTCAGATGTGCTGAGGCCAAAGACCATGATGAACTTCCAGGTAGTCTGACAAAGGGGTGGGAGACCACGCCCCTTCAGCCAGTTCTGAAGGAAGGAGGGGACAGAATCCAGGTAGTCAGGGGCCCTCAGGGACTAGGACAATAATCCTCTGACCGGTGGCTGTCCAGCAGAGGGAGCAGCAGGAACGAAGACAGGCCATGGGGAGTAGTTTGGCATTTTATTTTTTTGAGAGTCAGAGAGAGACAGTGCAAGCAGGGGAGGGTCAGAGAGAGAGAGATACAGAATCCGAAACAGGCCCCAGGCTCTGAGCTAGCTGTCAGCACAGAGCCCGTTGTAGGTCTCGAACCCACAAACTGTGAGATCATGACCTGAGCTGAAGTCAGACGCTTAACTGACTGAGCCACCCAGGTGCCCCCCCTAGTGTGGCATTTCTAAGCCGTGGCAGGCAGGGCCTCACGGGGCCCAGGGTTAGGAGTTTGTCCCCAAAGCACTGGGAAGCTGTGCAGTTTTAGGTGGGGGACAGATGGGTCTAGTCCTTGTGTTTGACTATGTTCATTTCAGCTGCTACCATGTGGAGGAGGAGGAGGGGGCCCGAGTGGGGCTGGGGTCCTGCCCACTTGTCACCAGAGCCAGCAAAGGCCCTTGCACCCCGCAGACCAGCTGAACTGCAGCTAAGGAGGTGGGGAGGGGGTGGGAGGTAGGCCAGGCAGGCAGCCGGTGCCTCACAGCTCTTCTCTCCCTCTGGGCAGGTGGGCAGGGTACCCCTGCACTGGGCTGCGGGTGCGGGGCACGAGCAAGCTGTGCGGCTGCTCCTGGAACACGAGGTTGCTGTGGACGATGAGGATGCGGTAGGGGACCCCTCCTATAGGCGCCTCTGTGTGCACGCGTCTGTCTGTTTGCCTGTCTTGGGGGGAATAGGAGGAAGGAGCACCAGAGCTCTCTCTAGATCTGTGAGCCAGCAGTCACTGTGGAAGTTGCCTCTGATTCACAAATCCACAGGTGCAAGGTGGACAGGGACTCAGTCTTCAGGGGCCAGTGACACCACACTGAACCCAGTTTTCCCCTCGACAGCCATAAAGACCTCTCCATTTTTAAGAGCTTTTTAGTTCTCAGAGAGCCTTTTCCATCCCTCATGATACCATGTGAACAGGGAGAGATAGGGCTGTAGAACAAATAATTGGGTGGATTGATAAAGGACTTGTTAGCAAAATAATCAGGAGGTAGGTCTCTCCTGATTTGCCACAGGACTCTGCTCTGGCCAACACTTTAACCAGAGACTGGAATGAAGACTAACAGTGTCCCTAACAAGTTGACAGGCAGCACATTGCTGAGAGAGAGCACTGGAGAACAGGCTCTCCTAAATCATGTCTATAGGTTTGAGGAAGGGGCTGGGTCTGACAATGACATTTGGCAGGGATACATTTAAGAATCTAAACTTAGGGGAATCTGGGTAGCTTAGTGGGTTGAATGTCCAATTCTTAATGCATTTTTAAAAAATTTTTTTAATTTTTTTTTTGAGACAGAGAGACAGAGTCAGAGTGTGAGTGGGGGATGGGAAGAGAGAGAGGGAGACATAGAATCTGAAGCAGGTTCCAGGCTCTGAGCTGTCAGCACAGAGCCCAATGCAGGGCTTGAACTCAGGAACGAAGAGATCGTGACTTGAGCCGAAGTCGGACGCTCAACCAACTGAGCCACCAGGTACCCCTGAGCATCCAGCTCTTGATTTAGGCTCAGGTCATAATCCCAGGGCTGTGGGATCAAGCCCCATGTCGGGCTCCAAGCTGAGTGTGGAGACTGCTTAAGATTCTCACTTTCTCTCCCTGTGCCCCTCTCCCCCGCTTACTCTCTCTCTCACACTCTAAAATAAAAAAGAATTAGGGGTGCTTGGGTACCTTAGTCTCAGCCTCTGACTCTTGATTTCAGCTCAGGTTATGATCTCACAGTTTGTGAGTTTGAGCCCTGTGTTGGGTTCCGTGCTTACGATGTTAGAGCTTGCTTGAGATTCTCTCCCTCTCTCTTTGCCCCTCCTCCACTCACATTCTCCTTGTCTCTCACAAAATAAATAAATAAATGTAGTAAATAAATACATACATAAATTTTTTAAAAATATTTTTATTTATTTCTAGGGGAGAGAGAGAGAGAGAGAGAGACAGCGTGAGCAGGGGAGGGTCAGAGAGAGAGGGAGATACAGACTCTGAAATAGGCTCCAGGCTCTGAGCTGGCAGTCAGCACAGAGCCCGACACGGGGCTCAAACCCACGAACTGCGAGATCATGACCTTAGAGAAAGTCAGACGCTTAGCCGACTAAGCCACCCAGGCGCCCCAATAAATACATACATAAATTTTAAGGCATTATAAACCTCCCTGCAGAGATTTATCTTTTACAGAAATACTTTTCTTTGCCCTGGCCTCTCTCTGCTCCCAGGCCCCAGCACGAGGGGGTGCTTGATTTCAAACTGGGGCAGGGGGGTGGGGCAGCAACACCTACTTCCCTGCTCCTGCCCCATCTCCTCTCTGCATTTGCTTAGGCCTCATTTTAGAGCCGACTCTAAAAGGAGAATATCTTAGTTTGAGTTTCCCAATAAAATACTGGAATGTCATGCAACAGGCCTTTGCCTGCAAAGTCCCCCCCAACTATCACCACTGTGCTCTGTTATTTCTTCCTAGAGGGAATGAGTGAGAAAAGAAGGTATGGGGAAGAAGAGTAAGAGAGAGTGCTTTTATAAATCTTCTCTACTTTCTTTGCAAATAGTAATAAATATATTTTGAAAACTAAGAAAGCTGATGGGTATGCCTAATTTAGTAACAGAAGGGTGGAGGAGATGAGAAAGGGAAATCCTGCTGTTGGGGGGAAGGTCTCTAGGGATATGCCATAGGGCTCTGTCCTGAACAGTTCTTGCAACTAGGACCCAGAAGTATCTCTGGGGTTCCCAGTGACGGGAGGCTCTGGCTCTCATGACTTTCTTCCCCCAGGTCTGAGGCTTGATCCTTTCAATTCCCAGGTTCCTATGCGCCCCCCCCCCCAAGGACTCTGCCCTGTGAGTATACATTCTCTCTCTCAGCCAGCCAGCCCACAATTACTGATATTCTACCTGTGCTGGGTCTTGTGCATAACCCCATAGGGCAGAGGTCAGTGAAGGGGCTCCAATGATCCTGGAGCACTTCACAGATGTTGGGGAAGAACATCCTGCCAACAGGTGCTGAGCCGCCATCAAAAAAGGACCCAGACATAGTCTCAGTTGCTCCAAAGAGCTGGTTGGGTGGAAGGCACAGGGATTCAGACTTTAGTACAGTGGAGAGAGGGACTTTCCAACAGTGAGCAGTGTTTGTCGGTGCAGTGGATGTCTTTGTGAGGCAGTGAGGTGCCTGCTGGCTTAAGCTATCTGCCTGGAGGACATCCTGTAGGAGATTCCAACAGTTGGTTCTCAAACACCAGTCCAGGGTGAGGTCTTTATTAGTCCTAGCAAATCAGAAAAGAAGAACAATGTAGTGTGTTTTTCATGAAGCTGTATTTAGAAAGAGCATATTCTCTAATTAGTTTCTCCCCAATTTTTTGCATTAAAATGTTCCTGCTTTTTTTTAAAAGAACTTTTAAAAATGTTTATTCATTTTTGAGGTGGGGGAGGAAGGGCAGATAGGAGAACAGAGGATCCAAACCAGGCTCCGTGCTGACAGCAGCAAGCCCAGTGTGGGCCCCGAACTCATGAATTGTGAGATCATAACCTGATCTCAAGTTGGATGCTCACCTGACCGAGCCACCCAGGCGCCCCTAAAATGTTCCTTCTTTGTTACTTGATGGGAAGAATAGATGGTAGCTGCTTTATTTTTAAATTTTATTTAGCAAAAACACAAGTTTCAGTAGTGTCTCAGCCTCTGTTTTTTTAAAAAAATGCCATGGTTTTTATATTCCTAAAGCTTGGTGCTCCCCATTCTGGGTTTATAGTCCCTTATGGTTGTATGATTTTCAGTGCAGACATGGGCCCAGGTGGCACAGCCACACCTGCTCACATTCTTCTTACCGCCTCCCCATGTCCTCTCCCCCAGTTTGGTATGAACTCGCTTCTCCTGTCTGCCTGGTTCGGCCACTTACAGATCCTGCAGATCTTGGTCAACTCTGGGGCTAAGATCCACTGCAAGAACAAGGTAAGGCCTCACATGGCAGCCCCCTTGCTCCCAGAGTCTCTGCCGCCTCTGTGCCCCTGCCTCTGCTGCCCAGGTCTGCCCCCACCTCTGCCCCCTCCTCCTCCCCCGGTGGCTCTGCCACCCCAGCTTGCCTTTGCCTTCTGAGAACCTTCCGGAAATCCCAGCTGAGCTCAGCCCTGTGAAGCTGGGATGCTTGCTGTTTCCACTGGGGCTGGGACAAGTTGCTGGGGTGGCTCTTCTATCAGCATCAAAAGCCTCTTTCCTCTAGTGCCCCCTGACTCTTTACCACTCTGCCATGTTGGAACAGTCCCTAGCCCTCTGGGCAGCCTCTTTATTCACACAAGAGGAGTCAAAGTAACACCCTCAGAGGGTGGTTAGGAAGATTTAATGAGAGAGAGGTAGGGGCCTCCTCCCCTCTTCCGCTGGGCCCTGCCTCCCTTGTGGCATGATGGGGTGGAAGGAGCCAAGTTCCAGTTACCAAACCCTGGATCTTGGGCAAATGACTTCAGCATCCTGAGCCTCAGTTTTCACACTGCAGAAATGGGGATGCTAGTACCCACCTCTGAGCTGAGGGAGAAGCTCAGTGCTATGTGTAAAGTACCTGGCTCAGTGCCTGGCACATTAGGGAATCTGGCAGTCCCTCGCTGCTCATTGGTGTGCTCTGTGGTATGAGGGAGCAGGGCCCCAGCGAGTCAGAGGGCCAGGGGTCTCTGCACTGGCATCTCACCTTTTAGGGGGTCAGTGGATCTTATGAAAATACAAACACTTCTGGACCAAATGTTGTCAGCCAGAGGTTCTCAATCTGGGGATTCTTAGAACTCAGGGTGGGAAAAAAAGGGGACTTTTTTTTTCACAGACTTCTATTTAAAGGTTTAGCATTTGTTGCAATGAGGAGTGAATGCAAGAGTGGAAGTGGCATGGTCTTTTGAGGCCAAGGCTGGGAAGTCACATGATACCACTTCCACCATATTCTATTGCTCAAAGCCCATTGCAAGACCAGCCTGGATCCAGAGGATAGAGAATATTGGATTCTCCCCCTTAATGAGAAAAGTACACAATCCCATTGCTTTGGGTGTTTCCAAAGGTGTGAGGAATAGTTGTGTCCATCTTCGCAAGCAGTCCCACCGACTACCTTTCTATTCCTTGTTCAAGGACCTCCCTGGAGGTACTTAGCTCACCTGTAGAGGAGCCTTTGCCAGGCTATGACTGCTCCACACTCCGTTTGGCCCTGGAGTTTTCTTTCCCCCTTCTGTTTACCTGGCTCTACTTTGCCAGGCACTGGCGATCTCTAGACCTTTACTAAACTATAGGCTATAGTAAAATGTCAGCAGTTTTTCTGCTAATGTCCTACAAAGTATTTAATCATCTCGTCTCCTTAGTCTCCTCCAATCTTGTGACAATTTCTCAGTCTTTCCTTGTTTTTCATGACCTTGACACTTTAGAATAGCACTGGTTAGGTATTATGTAGCATATCCTTTAATTTGGGTTTGTCTGATATTTTCCTCATGATTAGATTTGGGCTATGGAATTTGGGGAAGAAAATCACAGAGGTTACATGCCCTTCATTGCCTCCTATCGGGGGCATATGATACCATCCAGTGACAAAACAAAAACAATTCATTTAAATAAACTCTCTGCCAAGTGTGGGGCTCGAACTCCTAACCCCAAGATCAAGACTCACATGGTCTATAAACTGAGCGAGCCAGGTGCCCCCAAAAGACAGGTTGGTAGTGAGTTTGATGTCCTTTATTCAAAAGAAAACAGTCCCTGGATTGGGGGAGTACAGCTCTTCACAGCAATTGAACACTCTTCTGGAGAGATTTTGGGCAAGAGCAAATGTTATAGAGCCCCAGGAGCAGCAACACAGAAATGGCAGGATTGGCTGCTAGGGGATTTCCTTGTGAGACTAGTGGGTCCTGCTTTCAAGGGTCAGGGGAGCTAGTATAGCTGAGTGTATGTTAGGTTGTCGTTGGTGTACGTTAGGTTTCCTGTAAGTGCAGGCTGAGGTAGATTTAGATTTGTGACCCGGGCCAGGTCACTGGGGCAGCCTCCGTTTTGTAGGCCTCAATATAAGAATTAACTTTATCAATACCAACGTGGTCTGTCACTAGTGATGTTACCTTGATCCAAATCTGACACCAATTCCAATGTGTGTGCTTTTTTCTACACCACCAAGCAATTAAGTCAATTCTCCATGGACACTGACTGGGCATCCCACAAACTTAACTCAATTCCAATACTATCTGCCTAAAGATAGTGTCAGATTCCACTAGTTAAGGGCTTAGACCCCCAAGACGACTCCCATTTCAGAAGCCAATCCCAAGTCCACTGTTATCTGGGTTTCTGACCGATTAGCTATAAATCAGAGGTTCCTACCACCCACTCCTTAGGTTTGATTAATTTGCTAGAGCCACTCACAGAACTAGGAAACTAGTTTACTCACTAGATCGTAAATTTATTGCAAAGGATATTAAAGGATACAAATCAATAGCCAGATGAAGAGATACATAGGGTGAGGTCCTGAACAAAGGAACTTTTGTCCTTGTGGCGTGTGGGACCTGGTACGTGGATGTGTTCTTGAGTTCACCAACCTGGAAGTTCTCTAAACCCTGTCCTTTCCTGTTTTTATGGAGGCTTCATTTCATAGACAGGATAGATTAAATCCTTGGCCATTGGTTATTGACTCAACCTCCAGCCTCTCTCCCATCCCTGGGGGTCAGGGGGTAGGGCTGAAAGATCTAACCCTCTAATCAAGTTGGTTCTCCAGGCAATCAGGCCCCCAACTCTTCAATCTTCAGGTTATCTTGAGGCTTCTCTGTGTCACCAAACATAGCAATAGACATTTTAACCTCTCTGTACACTTAGAAAATTCCAAAGGTTTTAGGGGCTCTATGCCAGAAGCAGGAGGAAGCCCAAATATATATTTCTTATTATAAACCATAATTTCACTCTTGATCACGTGGTTAAAGTGGTGTCAACCGGGTTTCTCCACTGGAATATTAGCATTTTTTCCTTTCCAAACTCTATTGTCAGAAATGCTTTGTGGTTTTAATTTGCATATCAATGATGACTAATGATGTTAGATATTTTTTCATGTGCTTCTTTGCACTATATATCTTCTTTGTGTCCAAATGACTTTTTAATTGGGTTGTTTAATATCTCATCGATAAGTTTTTAGACTTCTTTATAAATTTTGGAAGCATTCCAAAATCAATTACAGACATCACTGTACTTCCCTCTAAATACTTCCGTATGCATAACATTCACTAGAATTCACTTTCTTTACTTAAAACGAAATACATAAATCTTAAGTTTATTTTCACTGGGATTTGACAAATTTCACTTCAGTGTAATCCAAATTACTGTCAAGATGTACAACATCATTCTATTGATTTTTACGATCCATCGATGGTTGCAATCTATTTGAAAAACAGTCCTCCAAACAATCTAGCTATAATGCAAAGCCTTGGTAGAAGCTCTGGGCTATAAACAATATTTGCAAACCTCCCTCACTTAAATATTGCTTCTGGAGCCAAGAGACCATCTTTCTGCTTACACCTTTTCCCACCGTGGCCACTACTCTCTATTAAAGAAAAAAATTCAAGTGAGTAAATTTAAAGATCTAATTGGCTTTATTCAATGATTCATGAATTGGGCAACATCCCATCTAGCAAAGAGAAAGGAGCTCCAGGGAGCTGTATAAAATGAAAGACTTCTATAGGCAAAAGGAAGTGGGGCAAGGAAGTTATTCTAGCAAAGAGTGGATTCTTTTAGGCAAGATCACCTTCCTTTAGGGGACAGTGGGGGTGGTCTATCAGGTGGTTTTTTGTTTTTTTTTGAGTTTATTTATTTACTTGGAAAGTGGAGGAGTGACAGAGAGAGGGAAGGAGAGAGTCCCAAGCAGGCTCTGCATTGTCAGTGCAGAGCCCAATGCAGGGGCTCCAACTCATGAACTATGAGACAGTTACCTGACTGAGCCACCCAGGTGCCCCTGTCAGGTAGATTTCCTCCCTATTGTTGACCAGGAAGATCCAGACTGACTGGCTAAGATGACTTATCTGCGAGATGCTGAAACTGCAGTTAGGTTAGGTATTAAGTCTGGGTTTGGTGATGGGTGGCCCTTAGGACAGGTAACTCCATTTTGGGTTTATTTTCTCCTTTTTAACACCTCCTAGTCCTTGCAGACCCTATCAGCTCTCACTCCTTCCCAGAAGGTTAGGAAGTTACCACCTAGAGACAGACACTGAGCACTTAGTCACCTCCTTCTTCATCTGGGGCTGTATCAAGGTAAGCAGATGCTAGAACCTTATAACAACGTCCTGTGGGGGGTAGTATTGTGGGGGCTGTTAGTGCTAAAAACCTCACCTTATATCCTGAATTATTTTTCAGCATCTAAAAAAACTTGCTGTTGAGGATGCTGTCCAACTCCCTCAGCCACCCACTGAGGCAGTCAGGGGTTATTATCCTGATTTGACCTATGAGAAAATGGAGGCTCTTAGAGGTACAGATAACCTGGTCAAGACCAGGCTGCATTGCTGATAAATGCTGGAGCTGGGATTTGAACTCTGGCATCCCAATTCCTACCAGGCCTTGTGAGGCTGAGTGGGCACTTGTGGTTTTCCCCATTTACATATTGTGTTGTTTCCATGGTAAGGCTGTGTTCTAGGTTGCAAACATTCACCATTTGGGAGACAGCCAGTGGGTGAGCAAGGGCCCCTCCATAGACTGGAGGGACCACCCTGGGCTTGTTTCCAGGACGGCCTGACCTTACTACACTGTGCAGCCCAAAAAGGCCACGTGCCAGTGCTGGAGTTCATATTGGAAGACCTGGAGGATGTGCCTCTGGACCAAGTTGACAAGGTGAGAGTGGCCTCAAGGTCTTGTTTGTCCTTCCTGTTGAGTTTGGGGCTCCTGGTACCAATCCTGCCCATTCCTTGAGTACATCCTTTGAGCTATGGGTATTGTAGACTGGACCCTGCCTCAGGGAACTGTGGGTCTAGCAGGGGCATTAGGACACAAATGAGTCAGATACAGGGGAAACATGGTCAGTTCCCTCAGAGAGGTTCTGATAAGGACTAATTAGGTAGATTAGATACGGGAGCCACTGCTTTCTGCTTCCTGGAGGAGGTGTCATTTGGTGAATGAACTGGATTTTGTTGGTAAGATTGGAAAGCAGGGAGGTTTTATAAAGAGAGAGGAAAGCATTGCTAAAGCTTTAAAAGTGGAGAAGGGCCCTTTGCGTGTGAGTTCAGATGGTTTGGGATTTGGGGAAGGAGAGCCAGGGGGCTTGTTGGGAGCCCCTCATGGAAATCTCCACTGACTTCAAGCCTAGGAAATCTGTCCTTTATTCAGTAGACAGCAGGGAGCCACAGAAGGATTTCAGTGGGAGAGGAACCCCACACAGTGGGATCTTAATGGAAAGTTCAGTCTGGGCTTTCCCTGGAAAACATGTAGGGTGAGGGGAGGGGAGAGTTTCTGGGTCAGGAGAGGCCCCTGAAAGCCCAGAGTGGTTGGCTAGGTGGCCAGGGTGGGTGTGCCCACTGCAGGGTGCAGAAGGGTCACTTTCTTACCCTCCCCCGTCAGCTGGGAAGGACTGCGTTTCACCGGGCTGCTGAACATGGGCAGCTGGACGCTCTGGACTTCCTAGTGGGCTCTGGCTGTGAGCACAGCGTGAAAGACAAGGTACCGTAACTGGGTCCCAGGGAGGTCCAGGCTCTGGACTCCTGACCAATGTGGCACTGGCCACTTACCTGTGCCCACTTCTTCTTTTTTTTTTTTTTTTTCAGTTTATTTATTTGAGAGAGAGCGTGAGAGATCACGCACGTGAATGTGTGCAAGCTGGGGAGGGGGAGAGAGAGAGGGAGAGAGACAATCCCAAGCAGGCCCCTCACTGTCAACACAGGGCTTCAACACATGAACCATGAGATCATGACCTGAACTGAAATCAAGAGTTGGATGCTTAACTGACTGAGCCACCCAGGTGCCCTAGGACAGACTTCATTATTAATCTTCTGATTAATGTGCTTGGCCAGGATAAAGGAGTTCTGTTTATAAGTTAGTGATGGAGAGCTCACAGACAAATTCACCACAGGGTCTTAGAACTGGAAGCATTCTTCATTAAACCCCAATTCAACATTCTCATTTTATAGATGTGGGAACTAAGGTCCAGAGAAGGGGATGCTTTAGCCAAGGTCACACAGCAAGACAAAGGTTGAGCTGGGTTTGGAATTAGTAACCTGATGCCCAACCCTGGGCTGCTCCCTCTCTTCAAGTTGCCTCACGGGGCACTAAGCCCTTGGGGTCTGCGCCAAATCCAGCTGTCCACACTCATCCTTTTGGTCCTGAGAATCAGATCAGGCTGATTTCCTTCATTCTGGAAACATGGGCTGAGCAGGTCATGCTCTGGACTAGGCTGTGGGCCAGGAACTGGGAGTACAGATGGGAGTAAAGAACAGCCCCTGCAGGACTCATCTGCCCAGGAGGCAAAAACATGATTGTGCTCAAGGTGCCAGGAAGACAGGAGCACCAAAACTGGAAACCAAGCAAAGCCCAGCTTTGGTGAGCTTACCATGGAAATCTCGCCATAGAAAATTCTAGAAAGCTTTAAAATTGCATACCCCTGTTATGTTTTGTATTTTCAGCCGAAAAGTGTTTTTATTTTGAATTTTTTTTCATGAGGAGGCATAGTAAGCTTTTCAAGGCTCTGGGCCACTGAATGTCTGACTCCTGCTAGGACCCCAGGGCCTGCTAACGGTAGATCTGTGAGAAAACGGCTCTGCCCCCCCCCCGCCCCCCTCCCCCCTCGCCAGCAACACAGGGCACACCACAAGCATTGTGATAGGGAGGCTTTGAGAGCCCAGAGAGAGCGATTAGTTCCACTGTGATCATGGAAGAGCTGCTGACAAGACTTGCCAGAGATGGAGAGGCTGGGCATCCTCACAGGAGGACAGGAGAGGACTGGGCCCGAAGCCATGGCCTCCTTCTGCCCAGCTCCCCTGCCTCTGAGCCCCCTGCCCTGCTCAGATAGAGTGCTGAGTGCTCTGTTAGGGGTCTGTGCCACCTGCACCTTCAAAGAGGTGGGTATTTATAACCCAGAAGGAGGACAAAACTCTCCACAGTCCTGCTACGGGTGTGTGTGGGGGGGAACACATGTTGGCCCCCCACAGTTCACCGCTTCCTTAGTGTCGCTTTGAACACAGACTTCGCAGCCGCCTTCCCACAGCCTGGTCCTTGCTTGTGGCAGCCAGGCAGCTGTGCGCACCTCTGTGGAGAAAGTGAGAAAGGAGCAAACCGAGCCGTCCAGGGGATATTTCGTTGTTGTTGAGAGGGTGTCTTAAACTTAACTTTTATTATTAATACAATATGGTAATGATCATAGAAGAAATTTAAATGTTTCATCTTGCAGTCCACAGGATAGTGATAGTTGTTTTATGTATGTGTGGACTTATCATGAGGGAAAGCATATCTATATCTGTTTTAAGTACCCCTCTGGCATCGGTATATGTTCACACCCTCATTGGGCCCTTAAGAGTCCTGTGCCTCTGGGCTCCAGGGTGGCTAAGTTGGTCAAGCGTCTGACTTCAGCTCAGGTCATGATCTTATGGTTCTTGAGTTCAAGCCCACCATTGGGCTCTGTGCTGATAGCTCAGAGCCTCGAGCCTACTTCGGAGGCCCTCTCTCTCTCTCTGCCCCTGTCAGCTCGCACTCTGTCTCTCTCTCTCTCAAAAATAAATAAAACATTAAAAAAAAAAAGTTTATTTTTCAAAAAGAGTTCTGTGCCTAACGTGAATATCTTGATTCCTTCCTCAGGAAGGTGCTGAGGCAGGTCAGGGCTGAGGAGAAGACCTTGAGCTAGAAGCCCCCAGGACTGGTAGAGCTAGATATGTCCCAGAGCCCTTATAGGTGTGATGAATGGCTAAAGCTGGATTGTCCCTTCTGATGCCATTATGGGTTCCCTCAGGGGCCACTGCTCTGGTCCTCCATCTGTGGTTCTTCCTTAAGGACATACTTCTTCTCTGGCTGACCCCTTCCAGCTCTTCTCCTTGCTGGGGCCCTTTTGCCATCCACTTGCCCTGCGCAGAAAGATCCTTTTAAGGACAACTCCACCAGGGGCACCTGAGTGGCTTAGTTGGTTAAGCATCTGAGTTTGGCTCAGATCATGATCTCACAGTCGGTGGGTTGATGACCCGTGTTGGACTCTGTGCTGACAGCCTAGAGCCTGCTTTGGATTCTGTGTCTCTTTCTTTCTCTCTCTCTGCCCCTCCCCCACTCCCCCGTTCACTTGCTCTCTCTCCCTCAAAAATAAACAAATATTTTTAAAACTTTTTTTAAAAAGGACAACCCCACCCAACTACCCTTGACAGGAGCCAATTCTGATACAAAGAAGTTGGGGGTCCTTTGCCCCACCCAATGGCACCACCTTGCTTGGCTCTGTTGCTGTCACCTTTAGACTTCTCAAGTGTGAGACAAGTACCAGCTCTGTGGCTCTCAAGTTCCGGGAGATACATGTCATTCTTTCCATCACAGTAATTACTCACTGAACAAATATTTTACTGAACGTCTGCCACCTGCCCCAGGCCCCAAACACTGGGGAACAAAGTAGGCAGAAATCCCTGCCTTTGAGGTATTTATGTTCTAGCAGGAAGAGTCAGACAATAAACAATAAACAATGTATAGAAGAAAATTATAGAGTGTGTTATGTTATCAGTGCTCTGAGAGAAGAGGGAAAGAAGAGTCGAGCAGGATCAGGGGATCAGGAGGACAGGGGGTGGGAGCTACGGTTTTAAATAGTGTGGTCAGTGTGGCCACACTATTCGGTGAGAAGCTCGCATCTTGAACTGGACCATGTGGCTGGCTGCTTGAGCACAGCTTGAGTGCAGAGGAGAGCCTTGGCCTTGAGCAGGGGAGGAGATGGACCTAGGAGGGAGGGGCTTTAGACAGGAGCATGGAAAGTAGGGTTGTTGGGTTTTTTTTTTTTTCCAAGTAATGTGTCTGCCTTGACGTACATGTAAGGAAAAACCAGGACTTGGCCTTGTAAGTGCCCCTGGTTGTAGTTGGAGGCACACATCTCAGGGGCAGGGAGATACTGGCCCAGTGTTCAGGGCTGCAGTTTGTTATAGACTTGCTCTGTGACCCTAGATAAGTCACTTCCCTCTTTGGAACTCAGCTTCCATATCTATAAAATGAGGGTGGTTCCAGCAGGTCCCCAGGGCCTTCAAGGGCCTCTGATTCTACTGGTCCCTCAGGAGCCCTTCTGCCTGCAGGAGGGGAATACAGCTCTTCACCTGGCTGCTAGCCATGGCCACCTGACTGTGTTGCGGCGACTCGTGGACATCAGGCTGGACCTGGAGGAGCAGAATGCAGTGAGTCACCACCCAGAAGATGCAGAGATGCATGACGCTTGCCTGCTCCCTGCTTTCGAGGAAACCACAGCCTGTGGTGCAGCCTGATTTTCCCCCACTAGAGGCTTCCTGGAGTAAGAGGGAATAGACAGAGGGCAGGGGGTAAGGCAGCCTGGAGGATAAGAACATGAGCAGGGGTGTGGAGGTAGGAGTGAATATATCACATGCTCCTCAAGGTGAGAAAATCAGGTATGGGGCTCAGGGAACCACAAGCAATAAGCCAGGTTATTGTCCTCAGTAGCACGGCGCTGGAGAGCTTCAGGAGCCCTGGAGCTGTGGTGCAAGTGGGGCCTTCTCATCTCAGGGTCTGGCCTCAGCCTCCCTGCCATCCTCATACCTCTGACCATGTGTTTCAGGAAGGTCTGACTGCCCTACATGCAGCGGTTGAAGGCATCCACCCCGACTGTGTGCAGCTGCTCCTTGAGGCTGGGAGCAGCGTCAACGCCCTCACCCAGGTTGGTGAGGACTCAGACCCCAGGACTGATGTCTGTCCTTGGCTACTGAGCCTGGGCCCTAATCCTAACCATGTGTGAATAGAAGCCCTGAGGTGCCAGGCACAGGGTGTAGTGTGGCTTCTCCACTACTGAGCTCTGTGACAGTGCGCAAGTTACTTACATTCTCTGAGCCTCATTTCCCAACAGTAAAATGGGGATGCTAGGTAGTTACTTTTCTACATTGCTACTGAGGAGTAAATACCCCTCATGGTGCCTGCCATGTCTTAGAAGCCCAACACCTGTTGGTGTCTTCTTATTGCTGGGTATTTGGTAGTTCACGAGTCCCCTTTATAACTGTTACTTGGGAAAAATTTTCTCTGGTTTACCTATGAAGAAACTGACGCTTTAGAGAGATTCAGTGACTTTTGCAGGTCACAGGCTGGTAAGAAACAAAGCTGAGTCTGAAAAGCCTATTCCCCTCACTCCAGAGCTCATGGCCTGGAAGATTTGCCCTGTGTGTGCAGAGGCCACACCAGCCCGCAGAGCTGGAGCCTGGGAGAGGCCTCTTCTCTCACTACTGTCCTTCTTAAGTCAGCCATTGGAATTTCTCCTCTGTGCCCTGGAAAGGGGGGCTGTGGTCTTTCTTTAGGTAGGGAGTTGGCGTTTTTGTTTTGTGTTGTTTTTGCTTTTTATTTTTAGATCAATGACAAATAATCTTTCTTGGCTGACTGAATGGCTTCAGGATCTGGAATTCTCTATTTGTTCTAAATTTCAATAATAAGGCAATAATAATAATAATAATAATAAAATAGAATAGCAAAAATAGTTTAAAAAGCAGAAGAATTAATATTCTAAAACTGTTGAATACAAAAGAAGGCAGTGAAGGAGAAACAGAAGAACAAAGAAGACAGGAGACATATAGAAAATAAGTAGCAAAGTGGCAAATGTAAATTTAATAATGATATCAATGTTAAACTCCCCTGAATGTGAATAATGCTTAAAAGTCACAAAACACTTAATTTGCAGAACTTCCCTAACAGGTAGCACCCTCTGCCCCAGGGTGTTGGGGTAACACCAAGGCCCACCCAGAGAGGGAAAATAGCTGCCCCAGGGCACCCAACTATGTCCTTCCATCTGCCTGATGCTCTTTGGTCAGTTTCCCCTTCTCTGTGCCCAGCACAGTGCTCAGTACTAGGAGGGAGCAAAAGAAGTGAAATATCAAGGCTATTTCCTCAGCAGTAGCAGTGTAGGAGCTGAGAGACTGGAGAGGTCGTGTCCAGCCGGTGGTCATTGGCAGGGCTGGCTCTTCCCACTGCACTGGGCCTTGTACTCCAGCCTTGGCCATTCTCCAGCATGGCAGAGGGCACATTCTATTTGGTCACCTCCAGCCCTCGCAGGCTCTCTGAGGAGGGGGATAACCCAAAGTGATATTTCCCATTGGGAAGTGGACTGGTTCCCATTCACCCTGTGCACTCAGCTCCTACAGGACTTTGGCAGGGTGACCAGCTCATCCCACTTTGCCCCATATTGTCCGGTCTTTGAAAGGAAAAATCCTGGGGAACAGTCTGGACAGTCTGCAACAGTTGACCACCTAGAGGTGTCTGCCCGGTGGAGTAGAGGGGTATCTCGCATCGTTTGGTCAGGGTTGCGCTCTGATTGAAGAGCACTTAGAAGGCCCATCAAGGTGAAGCCCTAGCACTGGGCATGCTGAGGCCGGCTCCAGCAGGGCAGTGCGCACCAGCTGGGGTTTACTCTGCACTGGCAAATCTTACTTGTTCTCCTCTTTGATGTACATTCTGAAGTTTGTGAAAGGAGGCATGGAAAAGCTCAGACCACAGTGAGCTCCTCTTACTAGTCACCAGGCCTGGGCAAGGCATTGATTTCTCCAGCTTCTGGGTTTAATGGGGTAATAGTCCCACGGTGGTGAGACACAAATACAATAATGGATCCCAAGGCCCCACTAGACATTGCACTGGACATTGCACTGATGCTTGTTTCCCTCTAGAAAAAGCAGAGCTGCCTCCACTACGCAGCCCTTGGTGGCTCTGAGGATGTGGCCCGGGCCCTCATCTGTGCAGGAGTCCACACCAACATAGCTGATTGTGTAAGTGTGGGGGCTTGGGTTGAGGAGGGGTCCCCGCTGCAAAGTCTCCATGATCTCACTGGTGAAGCACAGCAGGCAGAGATGGGCACTTTAGGCCCTTGGGGTTGGGATGGAGGCCAGGACTGGGGGGCCTGGACGCACAGGGTAGGCCAGATAAGCTCCTAGCTAGAACACGGTTAGGACCAAGCTGCATTTCCTCCCAAGTGAAATATCTGCTTGAGTTCTCCACTCATTTATCCATTGGAATTTAGTGATGATCTTTCAGAGTACAGATGTAGCCTATTGGCTGTTCATTTTTTCCAGTTATGTCATGTGCTATACTCACAGGGGACAGGATATCCTTGTGGGTAAGACATGGACTTTTTTAGACAACCTGGCTTTGAGGCCTGCCACTGCCATTCACTGAATGACCTTAGACAAGTTGCTTTGATCTCCCTGGGCCTTTGTTTCTTTATCTATCTTATTATTCCCATTATATAAATGAGGAACTATCTGTTGTTTAGATTAGAAAGAGGTCATCTTCTAGTTGAAAGAACACGATGTTTAAAATTACTATAAAAGCAATATAACACAATTCTTCAGAATATAGAGATCCCTAATCCCAGCACCCTAGTGAAGCAATGACTTTTCCTTATTCCCTTCCAGTTTTCCTCATATGTGTGGTAGCACCTCCATCTAGAAATAAGCTGGGCTAAGGGAGAATTCTGGAAATGGGGATGCTTATTTGTTTCTACCCATTAAGATATCAGAATTTTGATTCCAGTCCAGTGGAGACTATCCAGCTCAGGTATCAAATGTTACTAGTTTTTCTAGCAACCATTTTTAATGCTAAGTGTAGTTCAGTGATCACAGCACACTTAACAGTTCCTCCTGTTTGGTATTTAAGTTGTTTCTAACTTTTTCAGGGTAAATAATGATTTTATGAAAAAAAATTTTTTTTTGAGAGAGAGGGTGCAAGTGAGCAAGGCTGGAGAGAGAGAGAATTCCGTGAGTGGTAGAGAGAGAGAAAGAAGTGGGGCTCACCCAAATCGGGGCTTGAGCTCACCAGCTTAAGAAGCAGGACTCAGCACCTTCTAGTTATGATTTGATTTTTGGTGTTTAACTCTTTAATTCTCCTAAAATGTATTTTTTATATGGTGTGGTACTCTATAGATTTCCCCTCCAATTTTTTAATCCTTCTGTGTCAAGTGAATTTATTAAATAATTCTAACATTCTTAGTGCTTTTTCATTCTTTCCTTTATCACATATTTGCATTTTGATATATGATAGGCTTTGTATCTGGGCAAGTGATTCTCTTTCGGCAAGGTGTATATTTAGTCTTGAGCTGGTACCGTATTTTAATTATTATTGCCTTATATTTTAAAGCCATATAAAGCTAGTCTCCCTTAATTATCCTTGTCTCTTAGTATAATTTTTTATCCTTTTAATTCTCAAAAGTTTTTTTCCCCAGCTGAAATTTAAAGTATTTTTTTTTCAATTAAAAAATTCAACTTAAGGATACAAAATCAATGTACAGAAGTCTGTTGCATGCCTGTACACTCATAATGAAACAGCAGGGTGAAATTAGGAAAACAATCCCATATCACATCAATAAGAGAAAGGATAAAAACCATATGATCATTTCAGTAGACGCAGAAAAAGCATTTGACAAAGTACAAGATCCATTCATGATAAAAACCCTCTGCCAAGTAGGTCTAGAGGGAACATATCTCAACATAATAAAAGGCTTTATATAAAGAACCCACAGCCAACATCATACTGAATGGTGAAAAATAGAGCTTTTCCACTAAGGTCAGGAACAAGACAAGGATATCCGTTCTCACTTTTATTCAACTTAGTACTGAAGTCCTAGCCCTAGCAATTAGGCAACATAAAGAAATAAAAGGCATCCAAATTGGTGAGGAAGAAGTAAAACCCTCATTATCTGCAGATGACATGATACTACATATAGAAAACCCAAAAGACTCCAGCAAAAAAAACTACTAGAGTTGATAAATGAATTCGTTAAAGTCACAAGATATAAAATCAACGTGCAGAAATCCTTTGCATTCCTACACACTAATAATGAAACATCAGAAAGTGAAACTAAGAAAAAAATCCCATCTACAATTGCACTAAAAACAGTAAAATATCTAGAAACCAACTTAATCAAGGAGATGAAAGATCTGTACTCTGAAAGGTATAAAACACTGATGAAAGAAATTCAAGACAATGCAAAGAAATGGAATTCCATGCTCATGGGTTGGAAGAACAAATATTGTTAAGATGTCCATATTACCCAAAGCAATCTACAGATTTAATGCAATCCCTATCAAAATACTGACAGTATTTTTTACAGAACCAGAACAAATAATCCCAAAATTTGTGTGGGACCACAAAAGACCCTGAATAGCCAAAGTGTTTTCCCACTGGGGGCACGTGGATGAAGGATACCCTAGAGCTCTCTGTATTATTTCTTAACTGCATGAAAATCTATAATTATTTCAAAATAAAAACAGAAAGTTCTGCTTCTTTAAAAAAAAAATCTCTGGAAAGATACACATAAAAGCAGGGATCAAGGTTACAGATGGGGTTTAGGAGAAGGGAGTATGAGCAGGTAAGTGAATGAGGGTAGAAGAAAGCTTTTCACTAGATATCTGTGTACTTTTTGGTTCTTTTGGTTTTTAGAAACAAAATGTAAAACAACCAAAAGCCATACTTACTCTCTTTCTACTCCCCTTTCTGACCACATTGCCTCAGATGGGTTTCCAGGACAACCGAGGCTATATCCAGTGTATTTGGTTATTTTATCTCCATAGCCTCCTGCTTCCTGGAAAGCCTGTAGTTCTGACAAATTTTCATGCTCACCTGAGTTGTGCATTTAAGCCCGTTTCTAGTCTCTGCCCATTCACTGTCACAGCAGACCCTTTTTGGGCCTCATTTTAATTTCTGTTATCTGGCAGTGATCTGAGGACATTGTTGAAATTCTTATGGTAGTTTTTACCTGGGTTTAAATATTTTTCTAGGTGTGTTTCAGGATACCTTTTGGTACTTATTGAAATTTGGGTTTGGGATTACATTAAGCTTATAAATAATATAAGAGAAAAAGGTCATCTTTATATATTTTTTAGAATTTGTTTTCAATGTTATTTTCGAGAGACAGAGCATGAGCAGGGGAGGGGCAGAAAGAGGGGAGAAACAGAATCCAAAGCAGGCTCCAGGCTCTGAGCTGTCAGCACAGAGCCCAATGCGGGGCTCAAACTCACAAACTGTGAGATCATGGCCTGAGCTGAAGTTAGACATTTAACTGACTGAGCCGCCCAGGAGCCTCTGTAATATTTTTTCACTAGGAGCATGAAGCCTTGCCATTTCTTTAGGCCTTCTTTTCTATCCTTCCGTGATGTTATATAGATTTTAGTTTGCCTTTGATATGTCCATTTCCAATTATACGCGACGTAAATACTTGATATTTTCTGACTGTTGTGAATATTTTTTTTAAATTATGTCATTTCTTGTAGGCATTCAATACAGGAATGCTCTATGACTTTTAATTTTACTAGGGGCTTTTTTAGGGGGTAATAGCTTTTTTTTTTTTTTTACCTGTCTATATATACAATCACACTGCGCATAAATAATTGTATAGTTTATATATTCTTTTCCAATACCAGTAAACCTTTTTAAAATTTTCTGGCCTAAACTACTAATAGACATTGGTAGTGGACATTTTGTGTGTGTGTGTGTGTGTGTGTGTGTGTGTGTGTGTACTCTATTCTGTAATCTTCTTATACTTAAAATGTGAGCCTGTTTTTTCACCATCGATTTTGTGGCTTTGTACTCATCCACTATGTGTCGCTATAATCACCTAGAGGGAAGGATGCTGTTGCAGTATCTCCACTTTGTCATGTGGTCAGGCAGCAGAGGGGACCACTGATGGAGTCTTCCAGCCTTGAGTGAGGCCTTGGATGTGTGTTGCTTTTGAGTGAGGTCTCTATTCTAGTCTTGGCTGGCTCTCTCATTCCTTCCTTCCTTCTGTGCATAAACAGTAATCAGGCACCTACCTGGGTGTTGAGGGGAGAAACTCCAGGAACACAAGGTTCCTATTAGTGATTCAGCACGTCATTTACATCTTCTGAACGTTGGTGTTCCCACCTGTAAGTGGAAAATACTAATAACACCATTCCTATATAAACTTCCCAGGTTCGTGTGTGGATTCAATGAGATATTAGAGAATTTTAAGTGTTGTTGCTAGAGGGGAACTCAGCAAGCATTACTTGCTAGATGAAGAGGAGCAGAGAAGGGAAATGACTTGCCCACAGTTCCATAGTGAGTTCCTGGCATAGCAAGGTCTCAAACTTGGGTCTTCAGGTTCCCACCCTCTTTGAGGAGCAGTTTTGGGCTCCAGGGATTCAGCCTTGAGGGTTATAGATTCCTCGAGCCACACATGTCCTCTGAGGAACAAGAAGGGACAAACCTAGAAACACTATATATCTATAAACCCCTCCCTTCTTCCATCCCTCAGCACCAAGCTATGCTGGACAGTCTTGGGAAGGACCCATCAATTGATTCATGTGTCTCCTCCCCCAGCAGGGCGCCTCACCTATGCACCTCGCTGTGAGGCACAACTTCCCTGCCTTGGTCCAGCTCCTCATTGATGCGGGCAGTGACCTGGATGCCACTGACAATGTAAGTGGTTGCAGAAACCATCTGAGCCCCAGGAAGCCTTTGGGCACCCTCCCAGGTCGGCAGGGCTTGGCTATAATCTCCTAGCATGGCCCAGAGTTGAGGGATTAACTTTTCCAACTTTTTAAAATGTTTTTATTTATTTCTGAGAGAGAGAGGCAGCGTGAGCAGGGGAGGGTCAGAGAGAGAGAGGGAGATACAGAATCTGAAGCAGGCTCCAGCACAGAGCCTGACGCAGGGCTCCAACCCACAAACTGTGAGATCATGACTTGAACTGAAGCCGGCTGCTCAACCGACTGAGCCACCCAGACACCCCAACTTTTCGAGCTTGTAAAAATATGTTTGAATATTTGTTGAAGGGAACACCATTTTATCAACCATTCCTCTACTTTGAACATTTCGGTGGTTTCTAGGCTATTGCCATGGTCTGTGTAACACCGCAGTAAACATCTTCTTAGATTCAACCATTTACTTTCAATAATTTTCTTTTCCCTTCAGGAAGATTCCCAGGATGGGGATGAGTGGGGCAGTCTTGTGTAACAAGAAGCCCCTGAGTCCTGAAGTTGTGCTCAGTCAGGAACCCTTTTGATTCCCTATCCCCACAACCCTCGCCCTGACCATCTAGTCCTCAGTGCCAGCAAGTACAGCCCCTAGTGGTGGAAAGCAGCTTTGCAGGATAGATCATATACCTTCAAAATTAGTATTTGCACTTCACTGAATTGAGCTTCAAAAAATATAATAAAAGCTCATACTCAAAGATATTTATTGCAGCATTGCTTATCAATCTTCAACATGAAAATGGCCCAAATATTTAATAAAAGAGAAAGAGAAGTGGTCAGGTAGGTCACGGTATAGATGTAGACGACTGTGGAGCTGTTAAAAACAGTGTTGTCAGAGTTTATAATATGTGGAAATGTTATGTTAGGTAGAAAAATGGATGCAAAATGTATATATGGGATGATCTCATGTAAAATCAGTAAACCAAGAGCATTCTGCATTAAAGACTAGATGAAATGAATTAGGATCACTACAGAGATGGACTCAGTGAGCCAACAGGTGGTAGTTTTTCCTTTGTTCTTTCTGCTTTTTTGTTTTTATCAAGTTTTCTCTGGTATTAGGTTTATGACTAAACCCAGCTTACCCTCTCCCATAGCTTCTTAGAGAAACTTTTTAAGGCCCAGATAAGAGTGTACTAACCTTGTAACTGTCCTGTCTTGGAGCCTTGGGCCACTCGGACATGCTTTTCTACTCCCCTGTTCCTTTGGCTTCTCCAGAGGCAGCAGACACCCCTCCACCTTGCTGCTGAACACGCCAGGCCGGACATAGCAGAGATGCTCCTCGTCGCGGGGGTTAACTTAAACCTGAGAGATAAGGTACCTCTACTCCCAACCAGCCTCCCTTTCAAGCTTTCAGGGCTCCCTCTTTGCCAGAGACCCTGTTAAAAATGCCTCCTGCTCTCAGACTATTCGAGGCTTTCCATCCTTTATATATTGGCTCAAATGCAGCCTCCTCTGGGAAGCCTTCCTGCCGCTCCATCACATTCCCCTTCCTCCTCTGAGGTCCCTCAGGACTCGGCCTGCCCTTCTCCTGGTCTAGAACTGTGATGCGGTCTTCTTCTGTTTCATGGCCCTTCAGACTCTGAGCTCCTTGAGTCGCCTGGTGGGGAGGGGGAGAGGGAGTAGAGGAGCACGGTCCCACAGCCCCCTACATGTAGGACAGGGGTGAGAAAGCTACCTGGCTCTTCGTGCCTCTGGGCTGGCTACTTCCTCAGGTGGCTGGAGGTTTCAGACCAGCTGAAGATTTGGTCTGAGGCCGAGAATGTCACGGGCTCATGACGAGACAGGGCTTGCACCTGTGGCCCAGTATGGTGTGGGGAAGAGTTGGGGGCAGAAATGGGCCCTGAGGCTGGATCTGGGAGGGGCTCCCTGCTTTGAGCTGGGACCTAGGGCAGCTGGCCATCTCCCTGCAGGTTCCCAGAATGATGGAGGCCAGCCCTGTGTGGGAGGTCGGGAGCATGAGGTGGGGAGGGCAAGCGTGACCTAATGAACCCTGTCCCCTTCTCTAGGCTCTGGTTTCATCTGAGAAGTGGGGCAGGTAATTGCTGTTTCAAAGATAATGTTGAGGAGTTGTGCAGGCTGAGTTTCATAAGCTCTAAGACTCACTAAATTCTAAAGAAACAAGAGGTGGTTGCTGGAATTATTATTATTGCCTCATTCAATCCCTCCTTGTGCCCAGAAAACTTTTCTGCTCTCCCATGTAGACTCCTGGAAACTGCTTTCTTTGGGCAGGGATGTTTGCAGTCAGTTCTAGAGGGTACCCTACACCCCACCTATAGCAACTCTGGCTTCCATTCTTACTTCTTACTTGCAGCAAGGGAAAACTGCCCTGGCAGTGGCCGCCCGCAGCAACCACATTAACCTGGTGGACATGATCATAAAAGCTGATCGCCTCTACAAATGGGAGAAGGTACTGAGACCCTGTGCTTGGTCTCTCCATGTTCCAAAGGGAGTGTGTGGGCTTGGTTCTAGGCGGCGCTGGCTTTGAACTCCAGCCCTGAGCAATTCAGGGCCAGCCTCAGTTTCCGAGGAGGTGATAATCCCTACCTTACCTAACACTGGGGTTGTTTGTGAGCATCTGGAGATGAGTGAGCACCAAAACCACACTGAAACAAGGCAGACCGAGGTCCATGCCAGTGTGGAGATATTACTGGACAATGTTACAGCTCCTGGGTGATGGATGCATGTGTGCACGCTGGCATGTGTGCATGCCGGCATGCGTGAATAAAGAGACGGCAAGTTGGTTTCAGCTAACTGCCATCTTCAGGTGATTGGAATTTGGTGTGTTCTATTCAGGCAACTTTCTGAGCCCAGGAGGAGAGTGTGCTGGGATTGATTAGTGATATCTGCTGAAAAATTGGGGAAGAAGAGTATCAAGTGTAAGGCCATGCTGTTCCAGTCCTCAGCAAATGGGGCTGGAGTGGGGAGTTTTTTGATGTCTTTGAAAGTTGTTTTTGTATACAGAAGATAAATTTTGCATTTACTTCAGTTTTAAGAATTAATACTAAATTTACTACAAATTTTAAAACCTAGTTTTCTTTTAACTTTTGAAGTCATTTTATAAATCTTATTCCACTTATACAATACTATATTTTATGAATTTTAGGAATTTCCACTTTCAGGGAAGCCTTTTGATTAATGTTTGGACCCATGTTTAAACTTAGTTAATTAAATTATCTTAAACATTTTAAGCTGAGTGAATAAGTTTAGTAGATTTTAAAAAGTATCTTTAATGCTTCCTAAATTCTTAAATTGTCCTAGTATATCCAGTAAATTCAACCTATAAATAGTCTCAAATATCTTAAACATTTCCATATGGTTTGCAAACTGAGTAAACTTATACCACTCAAATTAAAAAAAAAACACTATTCCAAAATCAATTAGTTAATGATATATTTCAATAGGAATCATACGATATTCTCTTTCATGGACATGCTAGATTCTCAGAAACATTACAGCCCCTTTACGTACCACAGGTCATGTCTCAGTGTAACCCTAGAATATTGATACCAAGGATGTGATGAACTGATTCATCTCTGTGCTTAATTCTAAAACCTCAGACTTTAAAAGTTTTCAACACTAAAGTGGCGGGGCAGTTAGAATCACAACCCCCCTCCCCCCCTCACCCTCAGGCCCATTTAATCAGAATCTCTGGTGTGGGGACCAAGCATCAGTAGTTGGTAGAGCTCCCAGATGATCCCAATGTACAGATGTGGCTGAGAACACTGCTCTGAGGAACTACCTCACGTGAGAGTTAGTCTCCCCGGTCGCCGTGTCACAGGTGACTGGTCAGACATTGTTGACCAGGATGTAAGATTTGTAGCTGCAGACGCCAGAACTCACCTGAGCTTTTTAACAACTGGAACTCTGTATTTACATACTTTAGAGGGGCTTACTTAGGCTTTTGTGGGTTTAACTGATGCCATCACATAATTTTTATAATTTCTCATTTTATCACCTCCTTTGCACAGAAAGAATTCTGTAACCCCGCCCTTCACTACTTGTTGGAATTCCGCAAATCTAGTTAGTGCCTGCTCCTTGGCTTGACTGGTGTTAGGCACAGCTGCTGAGTCCTTCTGCTGGCACTTGTGCTGTGAGAACACAGGGAAAAGAGAGGAACTGGGAAGGCTTCCTGGAAGAGGTAGCATGTAAATGGTCTCTTGACTGTGACAATGGGGTTGAGGGACAGGGAGGTGAGAAAAGGAGTTCTGGATAGAGGAACAATGTGAACAGCTGGGGTTCCAGAGGTCAAAGCAAGGCATAGAGTGAGAAACCAGAAAACCCAGGCCTGTGATGATGCCAGTACCCTCTCCAGGCTCCGGAGGGAGAGCCTGGCAGGGATTTCCCCCCAAGGTGGCAGCTGTACTTTTGGGATTTGCCCCACAGGATCACGTCTTGTGCAGGGACCCCAGAGATCCCTCTGGGAGGAGCTTGACCTTTAAGCAGGACCATCGGCAGGAAACACAGCAATTCCACTCTATGCTATGGCGACTGGCTTCCAGGCACCTGCGGCCTCAAGAGTGGAAGAAGCTCGCCTATTGCTGGGAGTTCACCGAGGCCCATGTCCATGCCATTGAGCAGCAGTGGACAGGTACCACCCTGCCTCTCCCCACCCCAGAGCAACCAGTGGGTGGAAGGGTGGGGGCACTGGTGTGTTCAGTTTTCTGCATGGGGGGGGCGCATAGGGTGGAGGGGGAGGTGGAAGCCTGTGCTACCTGCATCCCAGCCGCGGAAGCCACGTGCCATTGCCACATCCTGTGTGCTCCTCCATCCTTCCAGGCCTTTGCTCAGGCTGGGCCCTCTGCCTATCCCTCCCCATTGACCTGTGAACTTCACAGTCTTCGTGAATTAGCTGATACCCATCATTCACACAAACTAACGGCACTCCCTATAGAAAGGAGAGGATCAGCTCTTGCCACTATTAATTAACTTCTACTTGGAAATGTTGGTCCTGGTACTAAGGGAGAAAACAGAAACAGAAATAAGGACTGAAAATATTATAAAGGAAGAGAGATTTCCTAACTTCAGGTGCTATAATCCTATACATAAGAATTCCAGAAGAATCAACTGAAAAGCTTAAAATTCAGTGAAGTAGCTAACTATATAAAATATACAAACACCATGGTATTCCTATGTACCATCAGTAAGTGGGAAAATATATAGCAGTATTTTTGAAAAGATACTCCATTTACAATAGGATTTCTAAAAAGAAATATGAATGGCATAGGAGTAAAACAATAAAACTTTACATTCATTGTGAATTAGCTGATACCCATCATTCACACACAGGATAGTTCAACTATTAAAAAGATTTGGGTAAATGGAATGACATTCTGTATTCTTGGCTAGAAAAAGTATCATGAAGACATTAATTTTCCCAAACTTGATTAAAAATTTGATTAAGTATTTTTGTTTATTTTTTATTAAAAAAGTTTTATATTAGGTTTATTTATTTTGAGAGAGATAGCAAGCCGGGTAGGGGAAGAGAGAGAGAAGGGAGAGGAAATCCCAACAGGCTCTGCACTATCAGCACAGAGCCTGATACGGGGCTTGAACTCACAAACCGTGATATCATGACCTGAGCCTAAATCAAGAGTCAGACGCTTAACCAACAGAACCACCCAGGCCCCCCTATGCTTGTTTATTTTTGAGAGAGGAGAGTAGAGAGAGCAAGTGTGAGTGAAGGAGGGGCAGAGAGTGAGAGAGGGAGACAATATCCAAAGCAGACTCTGCTCTGACAGCAGAGAGCAGGTTTCAAACTCACGAACTGTGAGATCATGACCTGAGCCAAAATCAGACGCTTAACTGACTGAGCCACCCAGGTGCCCCCAAATTTGATTCACTTTTAATCAAATCAAAATAGGAAGTTTTTGAAACTTTACTAAAGGAGTCTAGAGTTCACTTGAGAGAATAAAGAGGGAATATTTAAATAAATATTTTGGGGGGGAAGTGAAGAAGGTTTAATCCAACCAGACTCAACCTTTCATAAAGCTCAAATAATTAGCATAGAGTGATACCTGACATAAAAATACTCACACCAATTAGTGAAATAGAGCCGGGAGTCCAAAAGCAATCTCTATGACAGGTAAGAAAGAACTTTCATAGATGATAAAGGAGCACTGTAAATTATGGGGCCGGAGCAAGGAAGAGTGAATAAACGGGTCAAATGAAACAACTACACCAAGACGGCATCATGAGGAAGTGCTTGCTAAGGGCCCAGAGGGGGGCAGAAAATTAGAGGATGGACTGAATGGACTAACTTGGCCCCGAAGGCTGTGCCCAAGCACGTGTGTCCCCAGCTGGGAGAGCACACCTAGTCACAGACTTTAGTAACAAGTGAATGCCCTCCTCCCGCACTGAAGAGCACAGGCAGTTATTTTCAAATGTGGCTATACATTGGACATAACACCGCTCAGTGCCCAGACTGCACCCAGACCCAAGTAGGTTGGAAACTCTCGGGAGGTTAATCGAACCCAGGTGTCACTGTTTTCTAAGACTTCCCAGGGGTTTCCAATGAGCAGTTTTGCCAAGAACCACTGGTGCAGGGGAGAGAACACGGCCACCTGTGTCTCTCACTAAGCCGGCTTTGTCATCTGTAAAATAGGGCCGCTAGCGTGCAAGGCACGGAGGAGCAGCCAGAGATGAAGGGAACAGTCATGGGCATCATGGAATCACAACAATGAGTGCCAATTCTTTCTCTTTTCAGAGCAACACCAACAGGATGCATGGTGGATGCTCAGGAGAAAGCCTGGGGCTGGGGACGTTCTAGAGTCCCCGACACAAAACCTCTAACGTCACCCCATCTGAGGCTGTCTCTTCCCTCCTCTCCCATCTCTGGGCTGAGCTCCACCGGAGCTTGGAGAAGGGCCTCTTGGCTCTTTCCCATCTGGGCATGTGCACCACAGATACCTGTTCAGACAGGCTTGGTTGGCTCCTTCTCTTTCTCTCCTTATGGTCCTCAGGCATCAAGAGCTACCAAGAGCACGGCCACCGGATGCTGCTTATCTGGCTGCATGGTGTGGCCACAGCCGGTGAGAACCCCAGCAAAGCACTGTTTGAGGGCCTCGTGACCATTGGCAGGAGGGACCTGGCTGGTAAGAGTGTCCTCTGCTCAGGGCAACACTGGGCCCCAGAGTCAGAGCTACATGGCCCACCCTGGAATGTGACAGGGCCCCCGAAGCTCTGCCCAGACCATAATGCTGTGGGGCTGGTTCTGAACCTTCCAGATTCCTGGTCCTAGCCTTGTCTGCTGGAATTCAGGTAGAGCCCTGAACAAACCACAGTACCTCCTGGCCCCCATTTCCCCATCTGTGCCCATGAGGGTGTTGGCTCAGATGATGCTGGCACCTTTACAGCCCCAAAGCCACTAATGTTATGATCTATTCTCTGGCCCTCTGTACTTTTTTTTTTCCTAGTTTGAAATAAGGCTGGAACAGCCTATAGACTTCTTTTTTCACAAGCAGTAACATATGTAGGACAGAACTAGCTTAATGTGAGTTGAACCAGTCAGAGCTGGTCAAATAAACAAAACATCTGAGGCCATCACAACCTTTTGAGTCTGTCAGTTCCAAAAGCCTAGTTTGAGACTCAGGGCACCCCATGGAATCATCAGGCAAGCAAGATAAAAGGTTCGGTACTAATCCCTCATTAAAAACCAAATCAGCTCATGATGAAAGAACCTTAAATACTATAATACACGTCCCTGGCATGGTGCATTACGGGGCCACCACAGGACAGGGTAGTAGGCAGTCACCAATAGTAATGAAGGCTAGGTTCATCACGTACCAACAGTAAAAACATGGGTAGCATGTTACTGAGAGGAAAAAGGATCTCACAGCAAAAAGGAAAGTCCCCCTTTGTAGCATCTCACAGCTGCTGCAGACAAAGTAGGGAAACAGTCACTTTAGAGTGGAGGAACTAGGGATGACTTTTTTCTTTTTCCAAAACAGTCTTAAATATTATTGCTCTATTTTTTTAAACACAAATTCTGGCAGGCAATTCAAACATGTTTAAAAGCAGCTCTGTGAGGCAGAGCTTAGGCAACATGAAGCAGTAGGATTCTTCTGTCTTGCAGAAAGCATCAGAAAGAAAGCAAATGCTGCCCCGGCTGCCCCCAGGAGGTGTACGGCCATGTAGCTGGAGGGACCAGACCTTCAGGGGCATGGAGACTCAGAAGGGGCGCCACTGAGCGGAAGAGGACCACCATTTAAGGGCTTTTACAAAATCACTGTTAATAGACCTCCAGCTGCTTGTACTAAAACACCCAGCCGTGCCGGACTAGCAGGCTCTGTTTGTAATCTCTTTCACAAGGCTTGGGGCCAGTTCAGGTTTTGCAGGTAACCCCTTCCCACAGGTGCAGTCCTTTGCAGCTCTTGGAGCTTCACAGCAGTCCCCTGAGATGCAAGGGCCATCTTTTCAGAGAGGACACTGAAGCTCAGAGTTGAGGTCAGGTGCCAAACCCAGCATCCCTGTCTCCCCAGCCTGGCAGAAGGGCTCCAACTGTCACTTACAAAATTGACTTCCTTTGACTCATTCATTGGCTTTTAATGAATGCTGTGCTTACTCCACAGTGTTTCTGTTCACAAGCTTATTTGTGTGCTTTGACAGTTCCAAGAGGTGCACATTCTTTTTTCCCCTTTTGTTTAGAAATTTAATTTAAAAATTTTTAATTATTTTTTTGAGAGGGGGAGCACACATGGGAGAGAGGCAGAGAGAGAAGGAAAGAGAAAATCCCAACCGGGTTCCATACTTAGTGCAGAGCCCCATGCGGGACTCAATTCTATGACTGTGGGATTATGATCTGAGCTGAAATCAAGAGTTGGATGCTTAGTGGACTAAGCCACCCAGGCACCCCTAGAATAAATAATTTAAAATTTTTATTTTGAAACCATTTCAGACTTACAAAAACATTGCAGAAACAGTATAAAGAATTTCTGAATACACTTTACAATACAGCTTCCCCAAATATTATCATCTTACATAATCACAGTATAATGTTCAAAACCAGGAAATTAACACTGATACCACTAACTCACCTTCAGACCTATTCTAGTTTTGTTAGTTGAGCCACTCATGTCCTTCTTCTGGACCAGGATCCAATCCAGGATCACACCTTGCATTAAGTTGTCATTCTTTTTTTTTTTTAATTTTAACTTTATTTATTTTGAGAAACAGAGAGGTGCTCATGCACAAGGGCGGGAGGAGCAGAAGAGAGGGAGTTACAGGATTCCAAGCAGGCTCCACACCTTCAGCACAGAGCCTGAACTCGTGACTTCAAGACCTGAGCTGAGATCAAGAGTTGGATGCTTAATCGACTGAGCCACCCAGGTGCCCCAGGGGCCACATCTTAGAAAAACTCCCCACAGAGGTATCCACTGGGCCTAAGTCTCAGGAGGGAGATATAGAATAAAAATTGTTAGAGCTGAAAGGGGCTTCAACTGTCACACATGGCCAGTGGGAGCACACCGTGGAACAATGCTGTGAAAGGCAGCTAGCATTACATCTACCAAGATTACAAATGCACTTGCCCTTTGACCCAGCGATCCCATGTGGAGGGATTTATCCTACAGATAAACCTGCAAACATTATACCAAGACCGATGCAAGTTAATATGGCAGACACTGCCATGCAAGGGGGTGTATGGAAAATCTGTTATATGTTCAGGTTTTTATTTTTATTTTTGACATTTATTCATTTTTGAGAGACAGAGTGTGAGTGAGGGAGGGCAAAGAGAGAAGACGACACAGAATCTGAAGTAGGCTTCAGGCTCTCAGCTGTCAGCACGGAGCCTGACGCGAGGCTCGAGCCCACAAACCATGAGAGCAAGACCTGAGCCAAAGTTGGAAACTTAACTGACTGAGCCACCCAGGCACCCCTGTTTAGGTTTTATTTGTAACTATTTTTAAAAATAAAACATATTAACAATTTTTTAAAAATACCTGGAACTTATGAAAAGAAAGAAAAAGAGGCTTTGACACCAACCTGTTTTATACACAGTCACTTGTAAGACTGAGGCCACACAGTCACAGCTGGATTTGGACCCCCAGTGCAGCATGTGGCCTCTATGCCCTTCCTTTTCAAGTTCTGTGTGGAGGGGGAAAAACCTTCTCTTCTATTTATTCCATTTAGGAAATGTATTTTGTACCACATAGGACTTAGACGATTTATCTGGATGAATTTTGTGAAATGGATTTTTTTCTTTTGAGACAAAAAAGCGAGTTCTTCAAGAAAATAAAATTGAAATGTTGAAATATATCTTTTACGTTCAATATGTTTCTTTTGTTTGGGAGAAGTATGGCAAAATTTCAAGTCAGACAAGCTGTTGTGGACTGGCTCTGTGTAACCACACCACTCAACTCACTACCACCAGTCCGTATTTACTGAGTGTGTTCCATGCCGGGCAGACTGCTGGGAGCCAGGCTGCAGAGCCAAGTAGCCATGATTCCTGCCTTCTGGAAGCTTGTGATGTGGGGGGTGGAGGGGCTGGGACAACAATAATGTACTATCATGTATCGGGTGTGTACAGAGAACTATGGGATTTGTTTTTCCTTGGGGAGGAGAAAGGGGAAGATAAAGGGAAAGAGGAAGGAGAAGGGGAAGGGAAAGGAGAGGAGGGTCTGAGAAGCTCATAGAGATGGCAGAAGTGGGGAAAGCACATTCCAATAAAAAATACAGTCTGCACAATGGCATGGAGGTGTGATGTTATCTATCTGGGGGATGGTGTGGTTGGAACACAGGAAGCATGGAAAGAGGAGAGAAGAGCTGGAAAGGCAGGAGGGCCCGGCTATTTTAGCCCCTGATGAGACTATTCCAATGGGCACTCCTAGCTCCAGAGCCCTCTATGTGGTCAGCCGGTGCTTGGGGAGGCCTCATTCACAGCTCAGTTTCTTCTCTGCCCAACCCACTTCCCTTCACAACCTCTTCTCTTTGACCCTAAATAACTATCTTGCTCCCAAAGTTTCATCTTGGTATCTGCTTCAGCTTGAGACATGGGGTTGGAGTTGGGGTCCAAGATGGCTGTTTCTAGCTGGGGCATCTGGGGAACAGTGATGCTGGGAGTTGGCGTGATGGGTTTAGAGCAAAGGGGCAGATTTGGGCAGGGGGTCATGGGTGTGGCTTTTGCCAGGTAGAGTCTGGTGTGCTTGTAGAGGGCTGGCCTGATGGACCGGGCTGTACAGGCATTCAAGGCCAGCTCAAAATCCGTCGGGACTGGAAATGGCATTCCTCAGGACATAGAACCAGGGAGTAGTTAAAGCTGTTAGGGAAAAATGGCTCCCATGGGGAGAATGTGAAAAGAAAGCAGAGGGCAGTCTCACAGTTCATTGCTGTGCCAGGAGAGGAAGGGGCTGCTGACCATGTGTGGCCTGGCTCTGCCCACAGGAGCTCCTGTTGGTTGGGAAGTAGCCTCAGATGCTAACAGTTAAAAACATTAAGCTCTACCCTCATGGTTTCCCAGGTGCTTCCCATAACTCAGGACGGTTCTCGAGTCACAAGACAGTCAGAGCAGACACTGGCCTATGTGGAAAGATCGCTGGTTTTAGGGATGGTCAGACCCAAGTTAATATCCCCGCTCTGCCCTTTCCTGTGTGATGCTGAGCAAGTCTCTTGGCTCTTCCCAGTGCCCATGACCTCACGTGTAAAATCAGTTTAATCAGGGTGGTGGTGGGGATTAAGTCAGAAACAGGATGGCTAACTCAATATTCTGAAAACTTAAAGGGAAAGAAGCATCAATGATGCTTTTCTTGTCTCAGTTGTACCTCAGAGAAACCAAATCGTTGATGAGGGGTAGATTTTTGTTGTTGTTTTTAATCAGAGAACTCTAGTTAATAAATGGAATGACAAAATTTAGAGTTATCTTCACTGTTCTGCACCCTCTAATGAAAACGCATCTGTGCTGTGATCAGCTGGGGCAGCTAAACCATCAGTGGAATTTCCCAATGACTGGATCCAGCTGACAATGTCTGAACCCACCCAGCAATCTTAACCACTGAGAAACCATCGGATGTTATGTGCCTCCTGATGTGACATAAAGAGAAGCACACAGCCTTGCCTATGAAACGTTCCGGCCAAAAAGACTGAATTTGAGTCTGAATTCTAGATGTATGTACAAGTTTATGGGAAATACCAGGGACACAGAAACAAGTTAAAGGACACCATGAGGCTGCAATCAGCCAAATCTAGATCGTGGGGATTCTATAGAGCAAATGAGCCTGTTTCTTCAATAAATTAATGGCAAGAAAGAAAAATATACAGTTTAAGAGAGATTTGGGGCACCTGGCTGGCTCAGTAGGTAGCGCATGCAGCTCTTGATCTCGGGGTCATGAGTTCAAACCCCATGTTAGGCATGGAGCCTACTTAAAAAAAAAATTTAAAAGAGATTTAAGAGACATTCCCATTGAGGGGGAAAAAAGGTATGAAAAGTACCTGGCACATGGTAACACCTCAGTAAGTGAGACCTGCTGTTACTTTACAATGAGCAAACTGCACTTTAGAGAGATTATGTAACTTACCTAATGTCACATGGAATTGGCCACCACCACCACGCTCTGTTTCTCAGAAAGTCCTACACCTATGTAGCCCAGCTGGGCAGCTACAATAATCACCAAAGCCATTCAGTGAAATTGAATTTTTATTCCAAATAACTATAATGGCTAGAAAGGCAACAGATAAAACTGAAAATGATTCTGTGTAACTGGAAATTAGAAGTAGTTGATGTTGCAGGAGAGCACACGGTGGGGTGACAGCTTGGCACTTGATAACCAAGAAAGCATAAAAATAACCGAAGTCCTTCTGATACACAATCTGTATGTGCAGCATTTACAGCAAATAACATAAAAAGAAAGAAAGGAGGAAATAAAAGAAAAAAAACAAAAAAAAACAAAATCCCAAACCTCAGAAATTAATATTCGCTTAAGAACACAGTGGTGATGACTTTTGGTAGCAAAATTTTCACAATTCTTAAAATGGGAGTCTTCAAAAGTACTTCCCCAAATTTGAAAGCTAAAAAAACCGAAGAGGGAACAGTTACACTGGCTTAGAAGAGCTGCCGCCTGTCACAAAGACGACAATCAGTCCTACTTCCAAACACAGTGATAACCGGTGAACCTGACAGCCAGATGGAGAGGCCACCGGGTGGGCACTGACGCCATGATTGTACGAGAACTCTCTGGATCACACAGCATTAACAGCCAACACCACAACTACTGCTCCTCCTGACTGACGCTGAGGCTGCCTTTCTGCACCTCGAGTTCCTCAGCGCTGACCATCGAAGGGTCAATGGCCGCATATTTGGTTCCATGGAATTGCAGCAAATGTATCTGTAGAAACACAGAATCATTCTTTTAAATGTCACTATGGCATATAAATATTTTATGCTTCTAAAATTACAGAGTAATACGTACTAATAAGGGAAAAACTGGAAAACACAGAAAAGTCAAAGAAGTATTTTTAAAAACCACAATTTGAGGGACGCCTGGGTGGCTCAGTCAGTTAGGCGTCTGACTCTCGATTTTGCCCTGAGTCATGGTCTCGCAGTTTCTGAGTTCAAGCTCCACGTTGGGTTGTTCTGACAGTGCAGGCCTGCCTGGGATTCTTTCTTCCTGTCTCTCTGCCCCTCCTCCTCTCACTCTGTCTCTCAAAAGAAATAAACATTTTTTTTAAAAACCTACAATTTGGGATCTTTGCTCCTTATTTAATATGTAACAGGTCTCTCCCAAGTTCCTATAAATTTCATCAACATCTTAAATGGTGGCACACTGCTCTGTAAGTAGTTGTTTACCCTCCTGTCTTGCTGCTGTGACTCAGTAAGTTTATGAGTCCTCTGCTGTTCGCAATAATATTATGATGAAGGGTTCTAGGCATCGAGTTTTTCTGAATTTAGGGTCTTCTACTTAGGATCCATTGCCACAAGTAGATGACAGGACCAAAGGATGTGACTGTTCTTTGAAATTCTTGATACTTCTTGCCAAATTGCCAAAGCAGTAATTTCTCACTGCTATTTTTAATTTTTAAAAAATCTTAATTTAGGGGCACCTGGGTGGCTCAGTCAGTTAAGTGTCCAAGTCAGTGTCTGACTTCAGCTCAGGTCGTGATCTCGCAGTTTGTGAGTTGGAGCCCCACGTCAGGCTCTGTGCTGGCAGCTCAGAGCCTGGAGCCTGCTTCAGATTCTGGGTCTCCCTTTCTCTCTGGTCCTCCCCAGCTCATGCTCTGTCTCTCTCTCTCTCAAAAATAAACAAAAATGAAAATAAATAAATAAATAAAACATTTGTTTTTGAGAGAGACAGAGCACAAGCTGGGGAGGGGCAGAGAGAGAGAGAGACACAGAATGTGAAACAGGCTCGAGGCTCCAAGCTGTTAGCACAGAGCCTGATGCAGGGTTTGAACCCACAAACCATGAGATCATGACCTAAGCCCAAGTTGGAAGATTAGCCAACTGAGCCACCCACGCACCTCTCACTGTTATTTCAAGATCCATTTATGGGGCACGTGGGTGGTTCAGTTGGTTAAGTGTCTGACTTCGACTCAGGTCATGATCTCACAGTTCATGGGTTCAAGCCCCGCGTTGGGTTCTGTGCTGACAGCTAGCTCAGAGCCTGGAGCCTGCTTCAGATTCTGTATCTCCCTCTCTCTCTGACCCTCTTTTGCTCATGCTGTGTGTGTCTCTCTCTCTCAGAAATAAATCAAACATTAAAAAATATATATATCCAGTTAAGGTAGAGGGCAAAGTGGCAATTTTTGTTAGTTTTTGTGTGTGTGTTTTTTAATGCATTAAAAATGGATCAGGAAGTTGCTTCATGAATCTGGTATCCTGTTCTGATTGAATTCATTGTACCCAGAAGGCAAGGTCACATCATACCAAATGGCTACTTCTGGGTGTGTGGATATAGTCCTGCTATTCTTAGAAAAGAGATGGTAGGTAGAGAGTTACCTGACTGTCTCTAATATACCTGCTTGAAGTCTGCTATAAATTATTAATGTAAACCACTTTATCAGCAAATGTCTCATTCCTTTTAAAAAGATTTTTTTTAAATGTTTTACTTATTTCTGAGAGAGAGAGAGAGAGAGAGAGAGAGAGAGAGAGAGAGACAGTGTGAGCAGGGGAGGGGCAGAGAGAAAGGGAGACACAGAATCTGAAACAGGGTCCAGGCTCTGAGCTGTCAGCACAGAGCCCAACGCGGGGCTCGAACCCACGAACTGTGAGATCATGACCTGAGCTGAAGTCAGACGCTTAAACCGACTGAGCCACCCAGATGCCCCACAAATGTCTCATTTCTACAGAGAATTCTATAGTTCTTTCATTCCACCATCAAAAAAAAAAAAAAACAGTTTTGTGTTTCAAACTGTACACCGAGGGTTCAAAGTGCCCTGGCTTCCAAGCTGGGACTTACCTGTACATAAAGATTCACCTCTGCACTTCGGCACAGGTATGGGAAATTGCCTCCTGTTTTAAGGTGAGCCCTCCGGGCATTAGGATACAGTTTGTACATTTCTTCCTTAGCTTCGGTTGAAAGTGCACTCTGGTCAAATACCTTTTAAAAAAAAACACAAGGCTGAAACCTGCTGGTATTTTAATATGTTCTTTCCATATCATGGAAAGTGCTTCCCAAAGCACTTCTTTCTTGTGAAGAGACACTGCTGAACCCTGGCCAGCCTGGGCCATCTCCTCCTACTGGTCCCTGGTGACTTCTATCTCTAACATAAGCTACAGATTTTGTCGTTGCATTCTTTGGGGGAAAAGTCTACCATGAATTTTTTCAAACAGAGTTAACTGAATTAAAAGAATATTAATAGTGAACAATCATTATTGAAAATGCCAGTTAATTTCAAAAAGATCACTGAAATCCCAAAAGAACTTTTACATTTTATTACTACTTAAAAACAGTTACGTAAGTAGCATATGCTCAGTGGGAAAAAAACACACACACACACACCAAAAGTTTATGAGTATAAGAAAAAGTCCAGATCCTTTCCTGAGGGAACCACCATGCAATATGGAGTGTATGATTCTAGACATCTTTTACTGCCAAAATAAACTTATGTTTACACACACACATTCAAACAAGTTTTCAAAAAGTAATTTTTTTAATGAAGCGTATACACGCGTACACACACACACACACACACACACACACACACACAAAACATCTCCAACTTGCCTAAAGCTTATACACGGTTTTTAGTGACCCAAGCTTTGGGTACATGAGCTCAGCTTTGAAAGATGGGCAAACGGAGCAAATGTACTGTGAGTACTGAATATTTTACCAACAGTACTGAAACGTTCTCTCTGTGTCATGGTCAATGTTGGAATGTAGAGATTACAGTGAAGAATGAAAAGTTATTATTTACATGCTTGTAATGGATAATTTCTGGACAAAAATCAATTCTTAAAAATATGTCATCTGAATTTAGGAATAAATCAATTTGTGAGGCAAAATAGTTATATGATTTTAAAAAATAAGCCCAAACCACAATTAAATACCACTTCCCATCCATTAAAATCGCCATTATCAAAAAACAGAAAATAACGAGTGTTGGGGAGGATGTGGAACAATTCAAACCCTTGTGCGCTGCTGGTGGGAATGTAAAATGGTACAACCACTGTGGAAGATGATATCACGGTTTCCCAAAAAGGTGAACACAGAATTACATATGGCTCAGCAATTCCACTTCTGTCTATACCCAAAAGATGTGAAAGTAGGTACTCAAACAGATATCTGTACACCAATGCTCACAGCAGCATTATTTACAATAGCCAAGATGGAGAATAACCCAAATGTCCATCAACAGATGGCTGGATAAACAAAATGTGGTATATGTGTACAAGAGAATATTATTCAGCATTTAATACACCTACGAGATGAATAAACCTTGAAGACATTCTGTTAAGTAAATTCAGCCAGACACAGAAGTACCCATATTATGTGATTCTTTATAGTCTATGTACCTTATGTGAGGTACATAGAATAGTCAAATACATAGAGACAGAAAGCATAATGTTGGGTCCCAGGGTCTGGAAGGGGGGGGTGGATGGTGAACTAGTGTTTAATAGGTTCAGAGCTTCAGTTTGGGATGATGAAAGTTCTGAAAGTGGACGATGGTGACAGTCACACAACACTGTAAATATACTTAATGCCACTGAACTATACACTTAAAAATTGTTAAAATGGTAGATTTTGTTACATATATTTTATCACAACTAGAGCACAAAAGCAGCAAGCTTTTGTGCTAATTTGATTTTATGGAATTCTTGATTCTCTGCCCCCACGAGGCAACTTTTCTTTGCTTCATGGATGTGTAATATCTAAAGTACAGTATCTGTTGGTGAAAATAGTAAAACTGTATCAGAATGGGTAAGGACTCTCATGTTTGCTTATGTTTATTCCTACTTTAATGGTGTTTTTCCTATCAGGGAAAAAAAAGGATAAACAATACACTAATTGTTTTAGAACTGAAAAAGTGGGTGGGAGAAGGGTATAAAAGAAAAATCCAAGGCAGCATTTGAAGAGGCACACTGAACAATTAGAAAATACTTATGAGGATTTTGATATATATACATTTAAAAGGGTAAAGCATCTATTTGACTTAAAAGGAAGCTTACATCCATAATGGTTACAGGGATGTCCCGAATTTTATGAGGTTCCACATAAGAATTTTGACAATTCAGGGTTAATCTTGAAGCCAGTTCACTCTGACCCAAACTTTCCAGCTGTAGGATAAAACACACACAGTTTTTGAATTAATTTTGTTTCTAACATTTTTATTAAGTCCACAGATAATCTTTGTGCTTACAAAGGTGGTATCGTGTGTCCAGAAAGATCACCAAAGAGGAAATACAATGTATCTGCAAGACCATCCACTGGGCCTCCCACGTGGTGGCATTTTTCTATTCTGGGAACCTGGCATCCATAGCCCTCAACCTGAACTGCTTCTTCAACCAGGCGCCTGTGGGCAGCAAGCCACTTCCTAGAACTCAAAAGTGACAGACAGATGTCACTAGCCCTGTAGTCCCTAAAATGCAAGCCTGCTACTTTAGACTCACCTCAAGGAGAAAGAGGGGGAACAGAGTAAAAATATAGGTTCCTAGATCCCACACCCAGGGATTCCAGTTCAATGGGCCAGAGAGGCCTTAGAATCTGCATTTTTTTTTTTTTTAAGTAGGCTCCATGCCCAACGTGGGGCTCGAACTCATGACCCCTAGAGCAAGAGTTCCATGCTATCCTGACTGAGCCAGTCAGGTGCCCCTGGAATCTGTATTTTTAAAAGCTCCCCCCAAGTGATTCTGATGAATTACTTACCAACATTCATATCTGTATGGGTGAGTTAAAGTTAACATGGAAGACTGTCTAGCAAACATCTCTAATAAATACTAAATGTGACAGATATGTCGTCAGGAACCAAGGAGACACGAAAATTCCTAGTACAAGGTGTCCCCACCCCAATACCATGATCCTTACCCTGTCCACCATGAAATCAATAGCATCAGCCATCATAGGGTCCACTGGGCCAGATGAAAAGTTTCCAAGAACTATTTTTTTGAGCATAAATGATGGCATCAGCCAAAAGCTGTAAAACAAGGACCTGATAATTTAAGTTTGCAAGATTACACAAAAGTAGCAAATATTTATTCAATATTGAGACTTTTTATTAGCCAGGTTCTTGGGATCTTGAGAAAAAAAGACCTGTCTCTTCTTCCAAAGAACTAGTTTTAAAGAATCTTGTTTTTATATACATTCTCCTGAGCTCTCAAAGAGTTATGGTTTAATATGATTAAAGTTTTATTTGAAGATTTAGAATAATTATAGGTGGTATTTCAAGTATCTTTACACAAGGTAGACATTTTGATAATTCTGTGTATTTATCATCATTATTATTATTATTTACTATTTGGCCTTATTTCCAATGGCTAAACTATTTCCTTTAGAAAATGGAAAAACTGAGACTTCAACCTTCAGGTTTATATCATGTTTTGATTGATTGATATTTCTAAATAGCAAAATGAAAGAGCTGTTATACCTCCAAAGTTTGTTACTAGTAGATCCAATTGGGCTAATTCAAGGCAATTCAATCTATGGATTTCTGTATGTGATTTTTAGTTGATATTTATTCCATTAATTAGAAGTGTTGAGAGCCATTCTATAGAGTAAACACTACTTTCTCTAAACCTATGGTGAAAATAACTTATAAAAGGTGCAGACCACCTTCTGACACATGTTCTCAGTGGACTGGCTTGTTGGAAGTTGAGCCTCCCTCACAAGGCCAGTTGGCCCTCTTTCTGTTACCTTTCTCCATCCCACCCGTAGGGTTTCCTTATTTTCTCAAGGCGATGTCGCCTAGGTACCCTCTGCCAGGCATAGACCTTGTTGGCTTTGCTTGCTCCTGTAGCCTCAACGGGTGGCACATAGTAGGCACTCAGATATTTGGCAAAATGTAGCTCATATGCACGGGCACAAACAAAGTAGGGGCAGTCTTGGCTTGTGACAGTAAAAACAACATTAAAAATCATCAAAAATAATCAATGAGCTTTAGTGCATTGTCTGGACGTGAACTATTTGTAGCTAATGCATGTAAGAAATTTTTGTACAAATGCTTAGTAAACTACTGAGATAACATCAGAAAAAGCTTTTAAGAAGAACAGAGTACAGTTTGTTTTTAAGTAAGCTATTTGCCCAATGTGGGGCTCAAACTCATGATCCAGAGATCAAGGGTCTCATGCTCTACCTGTAATTTTAAAGAAATGTGAAAATCATGAAAACAATGTTTACCTAGAGCATTCTGTGAAAATCAACCTGATCATACAGGTATGTTTACTCACAGGGCTTTTTCTTTTAGGGTAGAGTCTAGTCTTGCTAGCAATGAAAAAAAAAATTACATTAAGTTAGCTTTAAGGTACTATTAGATACTTATCAAACTACCTAAAATGTTATCAGGGTGCCTGGGTGGCTCAGTTGGTTAAGTGTCCAACTTCAGCTCAGGTCACCATCTTGAGGCTCGTGGGTTTGAGCCCCAAATCAGGCTCTGTGCTGACAGCTCAGAGCCTGGAGCCTGCCTTGGATTCTGTGTCTCCCTCTCTCTGCCCCTCCCAGGCTTGTGCTCGGTCTCTTTCTGTCTCTCAAAAAAATGAACATTGAAAAAAAATTAAAAATAAATAAATAAAATGTTATCTTCAATAACATTTCTTTCTTTTTCTTTTTTTTCCCCAGCGGGGAGAGGGAGAAGAAGAGAAAAAGAATCCCAAGCTGGATCCACATTGTCAGAGCGGAGCCTGACATGGGACTCAATCCTATGAACTATGAGATCATGACCTGAGTCAAAATCAAGAGTCAGATGCTCAACCGACTGAGGCACCCAGGCGCCCCTAAAATGGAATCTTCAATAAAAGGAGGGCTCAGAGGAAACAAGCGCCCCATGGGTGGCCCCACGAAGCAGGCCCCCATTTCCATCTTTCTCAAAGCAGACTAATGCTAAAGTGTCATGATGTGCAAAACATGTGCTGGTATGTGACAAAATGTATTCTCTCTGTTTTTGGAAAGACATTTCAAGGAGATAACCCAGAAAGGGAAGGAAAAAAGCAATTTGTACAAAGATTTGCAGTAGAACATGATGAAAAACTGGGGGAAGCCAGATGCCTAAAGACACGGTGTCAGTCAATATATAGAACTGTTTAACAACATAGTAAGAAGAACAAACAGGACACTATATTAGTTACATGTGCAGCTGAAGAGGAACTGTTAGGAGCACAGGAATGTATACTAAACAAAGCTAACTCATAATTCAGAGTAACAGAAATAGCTAAATTCAGAGCTCATTCCATTCTTTTCTTTGGCAAAGGTGATTGTTTCTAATTTTAAAAGCCAGGGCAGTTTCAAAAGACAGAGGTAGATACAACCCCTCCCCACTTGCTTAGCGCAACAATAACAACAAACCCCAAAAGCCAACATTTTCGAGATTCCACTGAATGAAAATCCTAAGAATTTTGGCCAAATGTTCACGTTCTTACCTGTTTGCAGTCCAAGTTTGGTTGAAGATGGAGGTGTCGCTGAACGAATTGCAGAGGATGAGGGAATGGACTCTGGGGGATGTGTGTGTGTATTCAGCAAATTTCTGGGCCAGAAAGCCTCCCAAAGAAGCCCCAAACAGGTGAACCTAATTGCAAACAAACACAAGAAGGATACTACAACAATGATCACTCTGGAACATAAATCTGCCCCACCCCCCGCAAAAAAAAGTTATTTTACTTCTCACCAACCACAGAATAAAATGTCATCACTAGTCCTTAGATGAAAATATCAATAGCAGTTAGACATTTAGGAAACAATGCATTTAATAAGTACAACTTACACATCCCATCAAGAAAACAATTCATGCATGCAAATACAAGGTAAGAAAATATTATCCACAGATTATACCAGAAAATGAAACAACTTGTAATTTATGTTTAAGAAAACTATGATTTGGGGTGCGCCTCGGTGGCTCAGTTGGTCAAGCGTCCGACTTCGGCTCAGGTCGTGATCTCACAGTTAGTGGGTTCCAGCCCCGTGTTGGACTCTGTGCTGACAGCTCAGAGCCGGGAGCCTGTTTCAGATTCTGTGTCTCCCTCTCTCTCTGACCCTCCCCTGCTCATGCTGTCTCTGTCTCTCTCTCTCTCTCAGAAATAAATAAAAATATTTTTAAAAATTAAAAAAAAAAGAAAACTATGATTTGGTAATTCTACCTCCAGGTACAAACTCAAGAGAACCAGAAACACATGTCCACATTCATGTATCCACGAATGTTCACAGCAGTGTTATTTATTTTTTTTAATGTTTCATTATTTATTTTTGAGAGAGAGAGAGAGACAGAGTGTGAGTGGAGGAGGGGCAGAGAGACAAAGACACAGAATCTGAAGCAGGTTCCAGGCTCTGAGCTGTTAGCACAGAGCCTGATGTGGGGCTCAAACTCACAAACTGTGAGATCATGACCTGAGCCGAAGTCATGTTTAACCGACTGAGCCACCCAGGCGCCCCATAGCAGTGTTATTTCTAATAGCTAAACAATGACAACAATCCAAATGTGCATCAATGGACGAATGGATAAATAAAATGGGGCACACCTATATGGTGGGATGTTATTTGACAATAAAAAGGCATGGAGTACTGATACACGCTACAACATGGACAGGCCTTGCAAACGTTATGCTAAGTGAAAGAGGTCAGTTAGAAAAGAGGAATATTGCATGATTCCAGTTATCTAAAATACCCAGAATGGGTACATTTACACAGGCAGAAAGGAGATTAAGCTGTCAGGGCTAGGGGAGAAAGGGTGAGGAGTCACTGCTAATAAATATGGGGTTTCTTTTTGTGTTGAAAATAAAATATCCTAAACTTGACCCTATCTGTGAATATATTAGATATATTACATATGTATTTATATACAAAATATATTTATGTTTATATATAAATATATATCATACCTATCTGTGAATATAATAAAAACCATACTCACACACTTTAAAAGGGCAAATTGTATGGTATGTGAATTATATATCAAAAGAAGTATCACATAAGAACAAAATAAAGATAACACCAGGCTTTACAATGTAAATGCTGCATTAAAATCACCTGTACATATTCAGCTTTAGGGTACTCACTTTATCCAGTTGTAAATGGTCTAAAAGTTTTCTGAATCCATCACAGAATTCAAGATGGTCCCAGTAAACTGGATACTGCAACTGAAATAATAACATTATTAATAATAAATATAGGGGTGCCTGGGTGGCTCAGTCAGTTAAGCATTCGACTTCAGTTCAGGTCAAGATCTCATGACTTATGAGTTTGAGCCCCACGTCAGGCACTGTGCTGACAACTCGTAGCCTGGAATCTGCTTCAGATTCTGTGTCTCCCTCTTTCTGTCCCACCCCTCTTGCACTCTTCTCTCAAAAATATATAAACATTAAAAATTAAATATATATATATATATATATATATGCAAAATTTAGGACTCGCATAATAGCATTTATTTGCTTAAGCTCTGCTCCTTATTCATACTATGTGAAATTAGCTCTCACCTTCTCTTAAACTGTAAAATTCACACTTTACCTAATAGACCAATTTATTTTATTATTTTTTTCAATGTTTTATTTATTTTTTGAGAGAGGGTAAGCAGGGGAGGGGCAGAGAGAGTGAGGGACAGAGGATATGAAGCAGGCTCCACACTGACAGCAGCAAGCCTGATGTGGGGCTCGAATTCAGAACCGTCAGATCATGACTCGAGCTGAAGTCTGACATTCAACCAACTGAGCCACTCAGGTGCCCCCCTAACAGATCAATTTAAAAAAAGAATAGCACATAAGAGATATTATGTGAATAATAATTTCAGTTCACACCTGTTTCCTTTCCAAATAGCTAAGAAACTCTAAGGTTCAAGGGTGAATAGAGCAGAACCCTTCCAAGTAAAAAAATGTTTTCCCTTTAATCCAATTTAATTCTAAAAGTATAGCTCTGGAGAACTCGAAATAAAATCCTGTCTAAGGAGAATTCCCTCTCTTCTTGGCAGCATTGTTTGAAGGGAGTATTAAACATAAGTTGTTCCTCTTTTCTTAATTGACTTAGGCATTATATCTGATTTCTTGTACTTTTATTTGTGACCGAAAAAGTATGGTGCTGGACCTTAGGTAGCCTATAAAAGCTGATGTGGAGGAGAAAAAGAAATACAAGTCGCTACCTCCTTTCTATGGGACTCCAGCTTGTCACCAAAGAATTCCACTCTCTTTCATAATAAGCAAAACCTGTCTGACAAGTTAGTTGTTTTAAGTACTTAGATTCATTTTGTCATTAACAAGTTGCTGGAATTGATACTATGATGTATGTAACAGGATAATTTTAGATTTGATGTAATTCTGTTATTTTACTAATAAAAATTTCATTTGTGGGTAAGATTTCACTATTCTGACAGAATGAAGAACAGCCACTCCCTAGTAGATAATTTGAGAATTGGAGTCAGATGATAGAAAAGAAAGCTATTATGGGGCGCCTGGATGGCTCAGTCAGTTAAGTGTCTGACTTTGGCTCAGGTCATGCATGATATCACAGTTCAGGGGACAGAGCCCTGCGTCAGGCTCTACTCTGATAGGTTGGAGCCTGGAGCCTTCTTTAGATTCTGTGTCTCCCTCTCTCTCTGCCCCCACCCCCATTTGTGCTCTGTCTCTCTCTCTCAAAAATAAACAAACACGCACACACACAAAAAGAAAAGAAAGCTATTATATTATAAAAAGATACTTTTATGAAGCCTTTAATTTAAAAATATCTATACCCCCCAAAAAAATATCTATACCCAAGACAAGTGATAAAATTGTATACAATATACACACATAACTGAGTACAAGTAAAACTGGAAATCTGAATAAAATCGGTGGATTGTATTAATATCAATACCCTGGTTATGATATTCTACTATAGTTTTGTAAAATGTTACCATTGAGAGGAACTGGGCAAATTATAATAGGGATATCTCTGTATCATTTCTGACAACTACAGGCGAACCTATAATTATCTCAATAAAAATATAAATGACAAAAGTACCTGTACCTTTCAATTGCTAGATACTAACAATTATGTGGTAAGTTTTAAAACTTCATGAGGTAGGGCTGCCTGAGTGGCTCAGTTTGTTAAGCATCTGTTCAGGCTATGGTCATGATCTCATGGTTCATGGGTTCAAGCCCCTCGTTCAGCTCCTCACTGAGACTGTGGAGCCTGCTTGGGATTCTCTCTCAAAAATAAATAAGTTTTAATAATAAATACATAAATAAAACAACATCATGGGGTTAGGCACATAAGGACAAAGAAACTTTGAAGACACCACTAGCCTTTTCTTTCTTTTCTTTTTTTATTTTTAAGTAATCTCTATACCCAATATGGGGCTCAAACCTGCAACCCTGAGATCAAGAGTTGCATGCTCCATCAACTGAGCCAGCCAGGCACCCCTGGCCCTTTCTTGATTCATTATCTAGCTAATGAAATAAGGAAACCCCACATCAAGAAGCTTGGGGGCAAGAAGAAATATCTAACCAGAAGGCAAAACAATCGTGACCTGCCAGCTTGGAGCAAAAAAACACACAGTCCACTTCAGACACTGCTCTGAACTGGGAGAGATGCCTGTGGCAGCTCAGTTTCCTCTCTCTGACTGATCGACAGTGGCCACCAGGAAAGGTACTGTGGTGTCTTAGGCTGTGGAGGGCCGGGATAAGCGTGCTTGCCAGCCCGCTTTCCTGAAATGCCGTCCACCAAGAGGAATTATGGAAACCCAGAACAAGGGAGGATTATGTTGCAGAGACTCAAAACATGTCATATGAGGAATGACCAAAGAATGTGGAGAATTTCTCCTGAGAAGAAAAGACCTGGGGGAAGGCAGCAGGCTGACAAAAACTAGTTTTCTCGAGAAGGGCTGTCAGGAGGAAGAACGGGATTTGTTCCACGTGGCCTAAAGGGTGGTAAACCTAGTAGAATTTTTAGTTACCTTCCGAGAGAAGAGCTCTGGTCCATACTTTCTCTCTTTCACACAGTAAATAATACTCCCACAGGGAGACCCGTTTACATGTTACTATTCCAGCTCCTAAAACCAGTGCCAACTCCAAAGCCCAAGAGTTTCTCCTTCCTGAGAAGAAGCCTCCATTGTTTTTTGTTTTTAAAGTTTATTTATTTATTATTGAGAGAGAGAGAAAGAGAGAGGCAAAGAGAGAAGGGGGGGGAGAGAATCCCACCCAGGCTCCACAGTCAGTGCAGAGCCTGGTGTGGGGCTCGATCTCACAAACCTGAGCAGAAATCAAGAATTGTACACTCAACCGACTGAGCCACCCAGGAGCCCCTGATCAGCCTCCGTTGTTACACAGTCGAGGCATCGTGAACAACAGTGCCTTCCTCACCTACCCTGTTCTTTCAGAAGAGATTCAAGTATGATCAATGGGAAACTAGATTTAGATTAAATTCAGTGATAAAATAACAGAAACAAAAAACTTAAGTAAATACTGAGAGTATGGGCTAATTAATAAGCCCCATCCCAACTGTCAAAGACTTACATTAAAGCAAGCTTTCAGTCAGCTGAATGTCAACAGACCCCTCTGCCGTATAATACTGCACATTCAGCTCCCCTGGAGGCAGTGGTGTAATGAACCAGAAGTGGAAATGGAGTCAGAAGACTCAGACTTCCACCACCTAGTGGCCATGGCCCGCCACAATCACCAAAATGGCTAGACCTCCGTTTCCTCATCTATAAACAAGGACAATGCTTCCTACCATTCAGACTTAAGAGAATGTATATAAAAGCTGGGCATAGAGGTTTCAACAGAAGTCTGTCCCCTCTGCATTTCTGTATGTCCATGTACTGTATCGCCTTCCTTCCAAAGGCTTCATTTCACATTTTAAAAAAGGAAAACACTCTTAGCTCACCTAAAAAAAAAAATGCCCATTACTATAATCAGGAACAGAAGCACCCACATACAAAAAAAAAACCCAACTACACAAAACAAAACCAAAAAACCCCACAAAATATGGACTTGAACTGTAATACTGAATCAATAATACTTACAGCTATAACGCGGTAACCCCATCCAGTCAAAGCCAAAATCTGCCGGAAAAATACATCCGCAGTTCCGCTGACAGGGGGAAGAAATATCAGAGGACACCTGATATTTCTGGGGCCTGCATCATACAGCGACCATATTTTACTATCATCATCATCCACGATAATCTGGAGGGAAAGTTGTAAGAAAAAATGGAAAACCTTATGGACTTGGTTTGATATTGTTACTTTACACTATAATTTCTGTGACACTTTTAATGCCACTGCCTTGGGTGTTACAAGGTACCCTAGGAATCACACCAGACCAGCATGTATAATAAACTGCTTGGGTCTCTTTTTCCTTCTAGGTGCTAACATACTGTACAGAATTGCCTTATACTCTTCCAAAGAGTATAAAGATCTTTTTAAAATCAGTTTTTAATTTTCCTTCCTATCCATGATTATATAAAGCCTATTTTGTTCACCATTAAACAGTAAACTCTGTAATCAGCATCTTATTTCTTCCCCATACTTCTGGCTTTGTGTGTGGGTAGGAGGCAATTTGCAGAGTCATTCTCCAGCGCTGCCCAGAGGGGAGGAAAGACTCCAGGCCCTACGGACAAACTAGGGAGAGATGGTACTACTCAGGAGATGGTTCTGGAACCTCATCTGCACCACATCTCTGAGGGGGGGACTTTTGCAAAAGAGGAAGGACACAGAAGCTGTAGGTGTCCCTGTTCTGGAAGAATGTTTCAAACCAGTCAGTCAGGTGTAGGGAGTGGGCAGAGGGAAAAACTGGCTTTCTTGGGAAAAGCGGGTTGGGAGGAGGAAGGGCATCAGAAACCTTCTTGAATTAGTGGTTCTTAACCCAAGAGGAAAAAAAGATGAGCATTAAGTGAGCTGAGACAATCATGTGCTCGGGGCGGAGTTTGGCAAACAGTGACTGTTAGATATTACTATTATTCACTGCATGATAGTTTACTTTTTGTTTTCTGTGGCTGACTTTCTGGTGGTATTTGGAAGAGTACATAAACTGCCTGAACTTTTGCCAATGCAAATCAATATTTATCCTACTTTTACACTAAAAAATTCAAGGCCTCCAGGCTCTATCTTCTGGTCCCTGGTGTCACTATAAATGGTAACACACTGACTGGGATCATTGGCATCGTTGGGAGCAGACAAATGGGGCAAGGCACATCCAGAGGACCCTAACAATTCCCTTTTAGACTTCCCAGGTCACAGATGATGACAGTAATATCTCATACTCATGGTTCTGCCCTTTGTATCTTGCCACACACAATTTTGCTCTTATTTTTTTTTATTTTCTTTATTTATTGGCTATGGTTGTGGTAAAAATCTCTTAATGGCTTTTGGCAGCGCACACAGTAAATCCCAATCTTGTAATAACAGAATTCATATGAGATAAGAATATTTAGGTCTCCGAAATTTTCTAGAAATAATAATTCATTTGGAAGAAAAATAACAGAAATAGCATGTTCTCTCCCCCCTTTACTGAGATATAATTCACATAGTATGTTCTGAATATAAGCCATAGATACTTAAAAGTTGTTTATCACTTCAATTTTCTCAGAGTTCTCTGAATGGCAATTTTGTCAGAATTCCCTCAGAAGATGTAATATCTATTTGATAATTTAAAATCTAGCACCATGAGATTTCAAGCAAACTTATCATGACTTGTGGACCAAACTGATCTCACAACTGGAGAAAATCACACAATGAAACGACCCTATAACTACTTCTAAGAATATTTACAGAAGTTTGGGTTGTTTGGAGTCTGGTGATTAGCTTGCTAAGAAAGTGAGTCCATCACGATGAGCGCACATGAATTATCTGAGGGGAAGGGACAAGGTAGAGGGACGGCAAGAATGAATTAACATTTAGCATGGGCAGGAGTTTCCCAGGGAGCAGAAGGAAGGGTGGCTCTCTTTGGTAAGCAGTCAAGTACTTCTGACTGTGAAGCCAGATTAATTTGATTTTAATGCAGATTCTACCAGGCTGAGGGACCTTTAACATGTTAATTTCTCTGGACCTTGGGTTTCTCATCTGCGAAAGAGGTACATCACTACCAGCTTTGTTAAACTGTTGGAAGAATTAAGTAAGGTATCTGCTGACCTCCAACAGTGCCAATTGTCTAGCAGATACTCTGGTTATACCTGGAGGACTGCATCTCAAATTTCTATAAGGAGCATAGTTTTGTTGTTAATTCAAACCTGCACTGCACTTCCACAGATGCCTACCTGACAAAATGACTGTAACAGAGACATAGATGATTTTCATCTTATACGCCTTCAAAGGGATCAGCAAAGACCTTGCTCTGTGACTCTGTGACTTAACTAGCTTTTGTCCAGTGTGATCCCCAAACATTTGGGATTAATTAGGGACTCAAAGCCAACAGTCAAACTTCACTGTGAACTCTCAGGATTTTTGGACATCCCGGGCAAATAAGGTTTCCTGAAGAGGACTACCATTACAGAGGACCTATAATGTGACCCACTGAAAATCTTAAACCTGAGGAACAGGAAAAGGCTTTATAATAGCATCTGACTGCACTTAGTGTATAGTTGCTCTTGCTGCAAGCTTTCCACTAAACTCTACGGAGTACACATTTTCCTGTTAGCTTGAATACACAAAAGCAATTATAAAATGAGTATAATCATACCCACTTTTACTCTCGAATGTGTCTCAAGAGTTCACTGCACTTGACAAAAAAGGGGTGAACTTTATGCCCTGCAACCCAGACTCCTGATATTTGGCAATAACCTTTACTCTCAAACACTGCTAAGGCATAACATCTAAGTCACAAACAAAAACAATACAAGACTTTGCAAATAAGAGGTGTAGTAAAACCATACATACCTTTTTAAGGGGAACTGTACTTCTAAACCAGTTATAATCAGGAGAGACTTTAATCTCTCCCATGATTAGCTGAAATGGAGGTTAACCCTGAAATAAAAGCATGTGATGTTTCATGTCAAGAATTCATGTTTACATTAGAACCAAATGTAGAGTCTGCTCTAGCTATAAAAACAATACTTTAAACAGTAAAACCAAGGAAATGGGCTATTTTACCTTGTCAGTATATACTTAAACTACAGAAAACAATTTGGTGAAATCCTATAGTCACAGAGCAGGAGGGGGCCCTGAGAGATAATTACTCTTTCTTAGTTCCTCCAGATGAAGAATCTGGTCAAGAAAATTTAAACGACTTACCAGCGATCTCATGGCTATTGCAGAGCTAGGACCAGAGGCAGGACAGTGTATTCTGACACCAGACTGCCTGTCCTAGGTAAATGATTCCAAACTGCAGTACCGTCACCTATGTGTTGACACTAGCTTAAGAATCCATTTTAACAAAGATGTATGAGAGAATTTCAGGGAACAGTCCATACTAGAGAAAGGGGGTAACAGAAGCCTGCTTCCTGATCAAGTCACAAAATGCCATAAATCTAACTCTAGTGGAACATAACTTCAGAACCTCACATCTAATTCTTAATACAGTTCTCGATATGATTAAATGTGATACGCCCTTCTCTGAAAGATCTATGATTAAATGCCAGGCACTATAACCAGCAAGCAACAAAACATGTGTCTTTAGAAGAAATATGCAGTCTTTTGTTGTGAGATTAGTGATTTTAAGCTTTTATAGTGACCTTGGAAAAGTCACTGACCTTCCTTGGGCTTGTTTTCTCATCTATGACTATTTCACCACTGTATTTCCAAAGCCTAGAACAGTGCTTGGCACAGAACAGGCATTATCTGTTGACTACATGGATGACTGTCCTAAGGAGACTGGATCAGGCAATCCTAGAGTCTCTTCTGACCCAGGGATTGAACAGCTTTGGAGTGGCTGGGCATCTTCAAGGGAAAGGCTGCCCCTCCTGTGTTATGTCATAACAGGAACCTGAAATTATTGCAGATTCTTATTGCCAAATGAGGAACTTCCACCCCCTGGTTTGGAAGGATCCAAATACTTGCTGTACATCCTGGCCTCTACCACCAGGGCAAGTCTGGATTTCCTAATAGGGCTAGGATGTATTCAAGACCATTGGACTTAACTCCTGGGCTGACTCTGAATTGTTATTTTGAATGGTTGGTCATGGGGTGGGGTTCTCTGGACTGGCCAGGAGCTGGGGACTCCTTTTTGGCCCTCCACATCTGCCGACTCAGGAGTACCAGGAACTCAGCAATCATAACAGTTACCTCTAATCTTGGGGGGGCTCCTAAACCCCAAGGAGATGAGAGATGTAGACATCCATTATTAAACTTGATTTACAACCTTGACATTGCAATAATGGTCTGCTCTCTCAAGGCTAGGATGGTAATTTTAGAAAAGTTCGTTAAAATCATAAGCTGTTCTCAAAAGTACCAAGAATATCATTAGCCAGTCTTATGCTGAAACCGGTGTGCACAGATGTAGTTATAATTCATCCTGGAATAAAGAAAACTGTTCTTTGCATATCCATTTTCCCTTAATGAATATTAACATGTTTAAAAAAATCTAAGCCATTGGAATCTACTCTGTAGGTTTATAAAATACCTAAGCTACTTAAAGTCAGAAAGTTAGCTTCTTGATTTGCCAAACTTGGGATAAATTAATTCAGTTTTGGAATCGGCTGCAAAGTACAAACCAAATTATCACAGACATACAGATCATACACAGGCACACACATTCACTGACATCCACTTCTTCCCACAGCAATAAGTTAAAAGATGTGCCTTACCACAGTCCTCGGTATTGTTCACAACCACCTCGGTGTAACATTTTATAACTAATCTCACTGGATGGAGAGATTCCACCCAACTGTGATGAAATTTCTGTAGAGGCAAGTGATTTTAACACTTGTGCTAGTTTGGCAGTACATGAAAGGTAAGATAGATACCAAATGTTGCATCTGACCAACTGACAACTAAGTTAAAAAAAAAAAAAAAGATTAAAAGAAAAGAAAAAGCTCACTGCTGCAAAGAGAAAGCAGCTGTGAGTGGTATGAAAAGAAGTTTGTTCTCCGGACTCTCTTTCATTCACTAAAGGGGTATAATTTTCCAAGTCACAAGAGGAATATTCTATATATGGCAAAAAAGGTTAACTGAGATTGTGACCAGACTGGTCAGTATTAAATAAGAAAGAATGCAGAGGAGGAGCTCAAGACTGATTTGATCTCTCACAATTCAATTCTTCACAAAAACAAAAGCACCTGTTCATGCTGGTGGGAAAAGGGCTGCAGAGATCAGCCTTAATCTTGCCTAAAGAAATCCCTCCTCAGGGAGTACTTTGGACAGTCAGTCCTCTCTGGCCTTTGTGGTGCTAGACAATAAAACTGCCAATTGTGAGTGTGCATCAGCAATCACATGCACTTACCCCTCAGGGATTCAACAGAAGCTGCCAGTTTACAATCAATGAAATCATCTTTAAAAGTGTTTAAGCCACATAACCAGATTAACTAGTCAAGAGGTTTTTGGATCCTTTATCTCAATCTGTAGTTGATCCACATATGGACGGTCTGTGATTATTCAGACCAGCAGTAACTAAATATTAGAACCTGAGAGTCTCTAGGCGATGGAGTTGGCTTTTTAAATGCAAGTCTCAATAGCTCACCACACCACTACACAGCTATCCTTTCTTCAGATTTCTTTAGGGGAACATTTATCCCTCTTTCCTTCACGAATTTATTCCATTATTGTCTAAACCTCATGGGAGGAAAAGCTGCCTACTTGACAGTTTTTCTGTGACACCTCATCTTACACTGTCTTGGTATAAAAGCTCTTGGAAATTTGCACACAGCTATTAAGTTACTCCTCGGTCTCTTGAATCATTACTGGAGCTGGAACATCGTACGAGGAGACAAAGCAGCAGCATAAATGCAGAATTTGTAACTCCCCAGGAAAGCCAGAAGAGGAAAAGCAAAACACTCTAGTCCTGCTACTTTTCTCATCCCCCATTCACAAGTCTCACACCTGGTACTCAGCAATGACAAAGACATTTGTCACTTTCAGGCTGAGGTGCAATCTCCAAAATAACTAGCTTCTGCTCAGAGTTCTTAAAAGTCGAAAAACATATTCCTGGGCTGCAGCAGTGTATCCCTAGGACCAGATTACAACAGTATGCCCAGGTCAAGCGCCCCGCACCCCCACCCCCACCCCCAGATGATCCAAACACAGACCCCATCCTCTCCCAGTCCCACCGGTGAAAGCCACAAAAAAGGCAGGGTCACAGGTATAGCGACCACCCCAGGAAGTCAAACTTGACCTCAGACAGATAGGCAGACACACATACACAAATGGACATGCGATCACGTGCATGATCACATGGACCGGCCCACTAGGGGCCACACTAACAAAGTCATACCGACAGAGGCAGCCGCGCACAGTACATACACACCCACCTGCAAACCTATACACATCACACACCCACATCCCCGCTTCCAGGGCCTCTCCCACCCCTCACCTGCCGTGGCCTCCCCCACGTCCCTTTGCCTCCTCTCCAAGGCGGCTCTTCCCTCCAGTAGAGCACGGGCCGGGGAGGCGGCTGAGTCTGGGTCACCGACTGCCGGAGCGCTCAGTACCCGCAGGCCCTCAGGGTTGTGGGGGCGAGCTGGAGGGCGGGCCTCCAAGAGGCGGGGCGCGCCGCCCGGCAAGCCTCAGCTGCCGCGCTCCCCCCTCCCGAACGGTTCGCACAGTGGGCGCGAGCCTCGCGCTTCCGGGTTCGGAGGAGGCGGGGCCACGTCATGAGGAAGGGGCGGGGCTGCGTGGCTCGGGCAGTCACCATGACGACAGGGCGGGATGGAGACCGAGGTGAGAGGCTCATAGCGGGCTCGGTACATCCTGCCGGTTGGGAGTCGGCGTCCGCCCTGGACGTGGTGGCGGGCGCGGGGAGGATGTTCGAGTTCCCTTTGGGTCAGCTCTAAGTCACCCATTTGATGTGGGCACCGAGGGAGAGATTGTGCGAGTGGCAGAAGGGGTCGCCTGCCCCCTTGGGATCTCGCCCTGCCTTCAGTTTGCTGCCTGCAGGTGAAGCAGGTGCGGACCATTTTCTCTCCGCCACGTGAAGTTTTAAGGGGACCCCCTCTGGGTCACTGGCTTTAGTAAATAGCGCTGTGTACTCTCTTTGCTTGGCAAGATTTTTTCCTCTTGGCACAACCATAGACGCCCTCCGTCGTCCTCCGCTGTGACGCCCCTCACAGCACTTTGCAGACTTGTGCTGACATTCTCCCATCAAGCCTCCAGCTCCTGCATCACTTCCCTTTAAAAGTATAGAGAATATTAATATATTTATACACTTTCTACTTAAGCGAAATGTGGCGGAGGTTACTCAGTAAAACAAACGTTTGCAGTTTGCTGAAAGAATGTATGATAAAGTTGGATAACATGTAAATCTTGTTTGAAGTCTTTTTGTGATCCTGCAACAAGGTCCTGTTGAAAGTGCCTGCCCTAATCTGTTTAGGGAAAGCTTATACCCTGTTTAAAGGCCTTTGGTTTTTGCCCTTACCCAGGCAACTATTTATGGGATTAAGGTCAGGGGAGAATCTGAGTAAACTTCATCCTTAGTCATGACCTCTGCTTTCCTGCTCATGAGTGTTGGGGCCCTAGTCTAGAACTTCGACAAATCTTGATGCATTCCCCAGGAGCCCGGTAACTTGTTAGCCTCTGGCTCCCCACCCCATCACTATTTTCAGAATTTCTAGTCAGTCATAGCAAGTGGTCATTTATTATAAGTACCACATAAGTGTATAGGGCATGTTTCTATCGAAGATTTTTAACCTTGTGGCTTTTTCAACACTTTGGAATAGTTTAATGAATGTAATAATTGGCAAACCACCAGTTGCATGTAAAGACCACTATGAGTACTCATTACATTACTTACTTCTCCCCAGGTGGGCCGTGAACTTTAGGGCAAAAGGAACAGACTAACCAGTGTCTTAGTACGTGATTTGGCTCATAGTAGGTACTAAATGTATATCCAGTGAGTTAATGAGAGAATAAATAAATCTATCCACACGTATCACTAACACTGGATTCCTTATGTCCCACACCCCCAGACCTCACTTTAGTAAAGCCCTAATTGATTTAAGCTATGGATATGCCTAATTAGAGGTGTTTATTCTGTTAGTTTGATAATAATTTTTAACTTGACTGTTGATAATGAAAGGCCATTTTGTTATGTAGATTTTTTTGTTGCCTGTGAACTTTTGTTACAGTGTAAAATATCAAACCCAAAGTAATGAATGTTTTTTTATCCTGAGAAAAGGACCCCATGGTCATGTCTGGATATTCAGTTGTTCTATAACACATGGCAGGCACATTAACCATTCCCTAATCTGAACAAAGAACATTTAATCTCTGTGAATTCCAGCTGTCCTGTAATTGCACAACTGCAGGGAGCAAACTTTTGACCCAGGGCAGGCCATAGTGTAGGCAGACCCAGTGGATATGGCTTTGAGCGTTTGCAGCTGTCATGGTTGGGGTCTTCCAGATGGTTCCCACAGCACCAATTCCTGTGTGAGAATCTCACTTAAAAACTGGAATGTTCACAAAATACTCTGTGAACACCAGCAAAGTAAACAGATGGCCAGCTGGTTCTCAGAATTGTCCAAATCCAAGCTCTGTCCTTCAAATTGATCTTTTGGTAGGATAGTATTTGTTTTAAAACACTTGTGCAAAATAATCCTAGCTGTATTTCCTATGCATGTATGTATATACACCATATGGAATAGTGTATGTTTCCTCTGAGGAAAACCAGAGGATGGAAGGGTGGGAAAGAACTTTGGCTTTAGATTTAGTATTTGTTTTCATTTTCATTTTGATTTTTGAGAGAGAGAGAGAGAGAGAGAGCAAGTGGGGGGGGGCAAAGATAGAGGGAGACAGAGGATCTGAAGTGGGCTCTGCATTGACAGCAGAGCCCAATGTGGGGTTTGAACCCACGAACCGTGAGATCATGACCTGAGCCCAAGTTAGACACTTAAATGACTGAGCCACCCATGCATCCCTAGATTTAGTGTTTGAAATTATATAAGAATGTATTCATATATTATTGTGTGATTTAAAAATAATTAAGGGGCACCTGGGTGACTCAGTTGGTTAAGTGTCTGACTCTTGATTTTGGCTCAGGTCATGATCTCAACATCGTGAGATCGAGCCCCATGTTGGGGAGCCTGGAGCCTGCTTGGAATCCTCTCTCTTCCTCTCTCTCTCTGCCCCTTCTCCACTCATGTTGTTCCTCCCTCTCTCTCTCAAAGAAAAAAAGAATAATAATTAAAAGCAACTATGTTCATATCCTAAACCCTGCTCTTCCTTTAATGGCTTCCTCCTGCCTTCAAACTAAAGTCCAAGGTCCACAGGCGAGAGAAGGTCAGGCTCTCTCAAAGGGCCCCAAATACCCAATGAGGTCTCAAACCTCTAGATGTTTATATACTTTTCCCTCCACTTAGAATGCCTCATCCACTTAACCCACCAGAGTGAATTACCTCTATTCTACCCAGAAACCATGGATGTGTGAAAAAGTGAAAGAGGAAACAAATTAGTTTTTTATACTAATACCAGTTCTTGGAACACCATCCTTTAAAGCTGTCCGGGATACATTATATGTCAGCATTGTATATCAAATTATGCTGAGATCCAAGACTGAAAATGAATACTGTTTCCTTATCGCCAGACCCAGTCCGTGTCAGATACACACCACACTGAATTATGGGGATCAGACATAGGATGGGGATTCTGGAACTGCCCAAGAAAAATGCTGACATGTCTTCTCTATAGCTTGCTCCCTAATGAACAAAGGTCATAGCAAACAAGTTATATACAGTTACTTATAATTAATAATTCATTATCATCTGGGAGTTAAGAAACCTGATTTCTATTCTTGGGCAAGACATTTCTTCTCTCTAGTGTGGTTTCCTTCTCAGTAAAATGAGTCCCAAGGTTAGACGAACTGATCTCTAAATTCTTTCCAATTCTGAGATTTTATTTTATATGTTTTTAATATTTTTACTTTGTTTTGTTTTAGAGAGAGAAAGAGAGCATGCGAGTGGGGAAGAGGGGCAGAGGAAGAGAGAGAGAATTTTAAGTAGGCTCCACACTCAGTGCAGAGCCTGACATGGGGCTCAATCCTACGACCCTGGGATCATGACCCGAGCTGAAATTAAGAGCTGGATGCTCAACCACCTAAGCCACCCAGGTGTCCCTCTTAAATGAAATTTTGAGTTACTAAATTATAGAACCTTTCCCACTCTAAAATTCTTTTCCTCCTGTTGGTCTAAAGGCATCTCAGCAAGCTACTGCTGCCATCCAGAGGAGAAAATATTGTTGCAGACCCAAAGAAGGCATTATAGCAGTACTAGGCTGTGCTGACAGTAATAGCTAGCACTTAATGAGTACCTACTATGTGCCAGGCACGTCCCTGGGCAAATTCTATATGTATTTCTATTCTGCAAGGTAGGTATTACCCATGTTTTAAACTGAGAAATCAGAGTTGAAAGAATTTAAGTAACTGTCCAAGGTCACCCAACTTGTAATGAGTAAGTAAATTGTTTTGAGTCTGATTTTTTTCTGCAATGACAAGAACTCAAACAGAAGCATCTTGCATAGGTGGCCCGAGCCTGAGTCCTGGCCTCTCCTCTTACTCCTGGAACAGCATGAGCTTCACCACCCACTCCACCTTCTCAACTACCGGTCCATGGGCTCGGTGCAGTCGCCCAGCCACCGGGTCCAGCCGGTCAGCAGTATGGCCAGCGTCTATGCAGGCGCTGGGGGCTCAGGCTCCCGGATCTCCGTGTCCCGCTCCTCTAGCTTCCAGGGAGGCTGGGGGTTCAGGGGCATGGCTGCCGGGATGGCTGGGGCTCTGGCAGGCATAGGGGGCATCCAGGGCGAGAAGGAGACCATGCAAGACCTGAATGACTGCCTGGCCTCCTACCTGGAGAGGGTGAGGAGCCTGGAGGCTGATAATCAGAGATTGGAGATCAAAATCCGGGAACACCTGGAGAAGAAGGGACCCCAGGCCAGAGACTGGGGGCATTACTTCAAGACCATCGAGGATCTGAGGTCTCAGATCTTTGCAAATTCTGTGGACAATGCCCACATCGTTCTGCAGATTGACAGTCCCCGTCTTGCTGCCGACGACTTCAGAGTCAAGTATGAGACGGAGTTGGCCATGCGCCAGTCTGTGGAGAGCGACATCCATGGGCTGGCTCCGCAAGGTCATTGATGACACCAATGTCACTCGGCTGCAGCTGGAGACAGAGATCGAGGCTCTCAAGGAGGAGCTATTCTTCATGAAGAAGAACCATGAGGAGGATGTAAAGGGTCTACAAAACCAAATCGCCAACTCTGGGTTGACCGTGGAGTTGGATGCCCCCAAATCTCAGGACCTCAGCAAGATCATGGCGGACACCCAGGCGCAGTATGACGAGCTGGCGAAGAACCGAGAGGAGCTGGACAAGTACTGGTCCCAGAAGATTGAGGAAAGCACCACAGTGGTGACCTCCCAGACCGCTGAGATAGGAGCAGCTGAGACGACCCTCACGGAGCTGAGATGTACGGCCCAGTCCTTGGAGATCAACCTGAACTCCATGAGAAACCTGAAGGCCAGCTTGGAGAACAGCTTGAGGGAGGTGGAGACCCGCTAGGCGTTGCAGATGGAGCAGCTTAACGGGGTCCTGCTGCACCTAGAGTCAGAGCTGGCCCAGACCCGGACAGAGGGGCAGCGGCAGG